GTTGTGAGAGGCCTTTTCTCATTCTAGACTTTCTTATGTTCTAGAGGAACAAGTACAGTAATAGGTTTATTCCATGCTGAAAAAAGAAGAAAAAAAAACACGTTTCGGCCATGGAGCCTTCTTCAGGTGACACCTGAACAACCTCACACCTGAAAAAGGCTCCACAGCCGGAACGTTTTGTTTTCTTTCTTCTTTTCTTCAGCATGGAATAAACCTATTACTTGTTCCTTTGCAGCCTACGCATGCTGACGCAGCTACCCACCTTTCTTATGTTCTGACATTTACAACATTACAAACTTTGACTCTATAGATACTCATTTGTCCATGTTCTGCACATGTTAATGACCTATTTTTCATTTTTTAATTACTTTCTTTTTCTTTTTCTTTTCTAAAGCTGTGCCATAAGCTTTACGAAGTGATGACCAAGTTGGGAGAACAGCACGCAGACAAAGCCTTCACCATCCAAGGAGCACCAAGGTACTACATTGGGAGAGTGCTGAAGTCTAAATATGAACAGGCAGAGAGAAAGGCTCACATCCTGAGAGTAGTGTCCCCAGATTCATACAGTACATGCTTTCAATGAGACAGGTAGTATGCAGACAGGGCTATACTTTACCTAACAGCATCATACAGTAGTTGGCAGACTAATAAATTAATATCTCCCCATGCGTTTTGTTTTTCTGAACTTTTCATGTGGTTCTATATATATAAGTATTTAAACTTAATGCCTGCAAAAGGCAGCATTGGAAAGTTCTAGCTGCTGTCCAAATGCAAGACTGGTGCAAAGGTTAATATAAACCTGTCTGTGTTCCTCAGAAGCTTTCTGTGAATCTGGATCAGTATTGTTCTCTTTAAAATTCTAAAAATAAATTCATCCTCTAAAACCTGTCCCCAAACTATTTGCAAATTTGTTCACATTAAACAAGCTATATAGGGAGATATTTGTAAGTAATGTCCAGAAAGAATAAAGTTGAGACATCCAAAACAATCTGTTATAACATTCAAACAAAGGATCAAAAGGCCAGTGAGTTCTTCATCTTCAGCTTTTTGATGTAAAGTTATCAACTCAAGGTGATTACCTTAAGACAATAAAGATCAAGAAATAACAAAATCATTGCAGTTATTTAATGAAAGACGTACAGTATAAGACACACATTTGATGGTAAATTTGAAGCAAAGTCCATAGAAACACTGAGCCATCACCATTCTACTGTGCAGCTCAGTAGCTTATAGAATTTGCAGGCCTAACTGCACTGGAGCTCCTAACAGAGCACATGAGTTCTCTTCATGTTGCTGACCATGACTCTCAGGGGGGAATATACTGTATAAATAAAGAGATCCCACAGAAAGGGATTTTCAGAAAGGCTGAAGTGAGCCAAGCAAAACATACTTTACCCTGCAGCAATATGAGCTGTAATTACTCCTCCTGTTTCTCTTTTGCATGTCAAAGAAACCGGCGGTAAGTAGACAGATGATTTGGTGTTAGATGCTTGCACATCTTGGTTCTGTCGCAGAGTCATGATTGGATGCAAAGTTTTTAATCATGCAGTCTGTGTGTTCTGTTGAAATGGGGTTATACATTAGCATTGGTCCAACTCTCAGTCCTGTGTTTCACTTCCATTGTTAGCTTATATCAGATGTAACAACAATTGAAGTAGTATGCAACCTACTGTACAGTAAATAATGCTGCAGGACGCATTTGTTTCATTCTTATTGTCATTCTTTTTGTCTCAGTGGTTGCTAAATTTCTGGATCCACCAAACCTATGAAACTTCGTGGACTTCTAAAAATGAGTTCATAGTTTTTCATTTGAGGGAAATGAAACTGTATTTTTTCTGAAAAAAAAATTCAAAAAGTAAGGACTGGGTGCTGAACCAACCCAAATTCCTAATGACTGACTGAGACATAAGGGTTTATTTTATTCAGACTGCCTGTGCTGCTCAACGTGGTGTACTAATGTAGAATACTAGAATCATGTGTGATTTTTAATTTGAAAAGTAAAACAACGTATGATTAGTTAGATACAGTTTAGCTGTAAGTTGTGTGTATTTTCACCTTTCCCTTATAGTAACAAGGGTCCTGTGCAGGCCTGATAAAATAAAATTTCCAATGCAGGACTAAATCTCTCCCTGCTAAACCTTTTTCTTTATTGCAAATAGCCATCAGTAAACCAGCGACAGGTTTCTTTCGCCTTAAAAATAACACGGAAACGGCAATAAATATTCCAACAACCATAAACAAACAGTCCCTTACTTTAGTTAAAAGGCCGGTCTCTTTAGTGCTCAAATTACCTAGACGTGTTCCATAGACTGAGATCTTAAAAGTAAAAGTAGCCCTCCCGCTGTCCTATTTAGCCTCCTCCTGTCTTTCTTTCTCAGTATCCTACTGTTTTTTCTCTTCTGATTCTCTGTATGCCTCTTTTTCTCCTGGCTTAGAGGCTAATTTCTTCTTTGTTCCATCTCGAAGAAGCTAGATTAATGACCTCACTAAAAATTGAGCAATTTAATCATTGCTAAGTATTTATAGAATTGTAATCAATGCTGTAGTAAATGAACCTGTTAAAAAACAAACAAAATGATGGGAGGATATTACTCCTAAATAGAAATAATAAGACCTAAAAGGAACATTGTAATTAAGATGGACCTCTTGTTGGAGAATTCATACAAATACTTCTTGCTGGAGTCAAAATAGTGTCACATGAAGGTTGTGTTGGACTTAAGTGTGGCATTGGGAAGGCTGCTAAGGTAATCTTCCTAAGCTTCAGCAATACTATAGAGAAAAGGACTGAATTAAGCCTTAGTAAGACAGTGTTAGTGTAGATCTGCATAATGAACAGTTTATTCAGTTACTGTATGTTATTTACCTTTGATAAACAACAGAAAAGGGGAAATCTGAGATAGAGCAGGAGCTAATGGAAAGCAAAAATTCCTTGTGTCCCAGTGGTTCACTCGTGAGCTATGAAATGTAAAATTAAACACCTGATAAATTGTGGTGTAAATCCACCACTTTTTCTCCTTTACTTGACATAAAGTTAAAATGTAAATATGTTATTTTCAAAATTATATTTAAGGATTTTACTACTGTCTATTTGGAATACAAAAATATAATTTAATATAATAGTTTCAATATTAATTATGTTGTAGTTTATCTCAGAAACAATAAAAACTATAATACAGTATATAGTACAGTATGAAGAGTTTCTTCTAACATCTTCGAATCCATGATATGCCATAGTTTGTTTCCTTGGTCAAATAGTTCTTGACCTTAAATTCAATTAAACTGTCATAACATATGGCAACAGTTAAACTGACTCTAGTTTTTCTATGTATGTTTCTGATCAAACAGACTCAACACTGTGACACACACTTTCAAAATCTGTTAACTGCGAGACCTCCATTTCCATTCTGCTGCTGTTCTTATGTGAACACGTAAATCCAATCTAACACCTCTGTCCAAACTCATAGCATTGTATTCTCTGGATTTTCTCAATGTAATCGCTTTGATCTATGTCACTTAACATGTTTTGTAATATAAATCTAAGTATTAATTCTGAAAATTATAATGGGAAAAAGGAGTACTTTCTTTATGCTTAGTTTGCAGTGTTTCCTGTGTGAAGTGTGGTTTCCTTATCCCTGCAGGAAAATATAATTAAAAGTTGTCTGGATTTTGAAAAGAAGTGCATGTTCATTGGTTGGACAGCAACATGGACTGATAATTTTTTAAGATAAAGAGGTGTCAGAACTGTAGCAGCACTTTGAATGCTATCCAGTACAATGCATCATTAATGTTTTCTTAAGTATAATAATTATAATAATTCTGAGACAATGCAGTTTATTCTTTAAACAACCTTCTTTTTCATACAGAAAAATCCATAGTCAGACTAGCTCAAATATAACATTTTCATTTATTGGTTTAGTCAGAACAAGAATGTAACGTATGTGGTATTATCAATTATAAAACAGTTGAGCATATTTTTCCAAACAAGGCAGTTGACCACTTCAACAATCCAGCTAGTTGTTAAGAATCTGCATCCCGATGAATAACTATCCATCTCTTCCAACTGTCACAGTGATTCGGGCCCACTACGGCTTGCCAAGACTCCATCGCCCCCAGAGCAAGTGTCGCCTCCTGGCAGCCCTGAAGCTAGCCCCAACCACATGCTGGCCCCCGCCTCGCCTGCACCCGCGCGCCCCAAATCTCCATCACAGGTAGTATGGGACACCTTGAAAGAAGAATTCCATTATTGAAGGGCACTCACACAGGGCTGTCCGATTCACTGAAAGGAAGCCATAAAACTCTGCTTTCATATAAGGTTCAATTAAGGGTGCTGTGATCAAATACATCAAACACATGATGGCTCATCGCAGACATGGGTGAAAAAATATTATGTTGAGGTCACAAGATGTGGGTCTTGACCTTTCATATCAGATTTGTGGAGGTTGTGAGATAAATTGTCATTTTGGCATTTTGAAATTTTTCGTATAACAATGCAGATATTATTCATGGTGAAGGTGTTGGGGGTTGTAATCTGCTACAACAATCAGAAATTGTAACTTTGTAAATTGAAATAGAATAGTAAATTGTGGGAGCACTTGATGACTTTTAGGAACCGAAACATTATAACAGTCTCACACACAGATTCTAAATATACAATATACAATTTATTAATATAACTAAAACATGTATAATAAGCAGAAATGTGATAGAAAATATCTGTGAAACAATCTGCCATTTACAGTCTAGATCATAGGTCTCATATAATTAGATAACTTATTAGATAAAATTAGATAATTTATTCTCATATACAGTACAAGTAAATAAGCATTTACCATCATGAACTAAACTTCAAACAAGTGTTTGGAATACTAATTCAACTCTCAAGAATTATAATGTGAATAATGAAGTTTTACACTCAAAGATCCATTGCCACATGTCCTTGATGAGTTAAACTTTGTGCTGGCAGGATTAGGCCGTGGCAGCTTGCTCTTCTCTGTTCTAGGAGGGTCCCAGTGCAAACAGAAGAGAGAAAAAGAGCTTTTCCTTACATTGAGACTTACGATAGCCTTGGATATTATGAATGATGAAAAAAAAATCCAACTGTATCATCTTGTTGATCGGGCAAAAATAACAGTGTGTTTGTGAATCAAACACAAGATTTCTTCTTTTCAGAAAGAATATCTTGGGCAGAATTATATACTTTACTGATTCACTCTCTTGGCCTGGCACCTTGGAGAAAAGCTTACTGTGTTTAATTAAACTATGGTCCTATTCATCAGTAGCAGTCTACATATCTAAGCTGAAGGATGGGTGAACTAGTTATGAATGTAATTTTCCTCTGGATGTTGTATGGCTCTTATGGACCAAAGCTGATTATTCCAGGTTTTGGGAACTTAATAATATTTATCTCTGGTTTCCAGCTCAGGAAGGGGCCTCCAGTGCCCCCTCCTCCAAAGATCACCCCAACCAAGGAGCTGCACCAGGAGCAGATCATCAGCCTGTTTGATGACAACTTTGTCCCTGAGATTAGTGTTACCACACCTTCACAGGTCAGTTTCACCTCCTGCCTCCCCTTTTATTATGTTAACTTTCCTCAGCATTTATTTTTTTGTGGTTTTCTATGTTTACACTATGCACATGTATTTGCTCAACATTTTTTGCAACAGTCTGGGGGACATTATCAGTATTTGGAAAATATGTGCACAATAATATGCAAAGTTGACTTTGTATACAGAATGTATTTTACATTGCATTCATGGCAAATTAAAAATATTTTTACAGTATAAATACAGCAGACCCTACTTGTTGTATAACTTATTTATGAACTCAGTTATTAATATAGTCATGATTTAAGTCTACTCATCAAAAACTTCATCGTGGTGCAACACTTTCTGCTGGTTTAAGGAATACAAAATCCATATTAAAACTTTCACTCCCAGTGTCCTCACTTCAAAAGATGGAAAGTATAACATTTATCATTAGCCATGTTTGTCATCAGTATTCTTATTCAAAATTTCAGTGTACATAGAAATATTCAGAGAAAATCAGCATTTTAACAGAATTTACAGTAAAGCCTTTCTCTTCCAATCCTTTTTGTTCTAGTCTCTCTATGATGTATAGATTTTTTTTCTACCGAGTGTGTTGTAAAACATGTATCTGCACTATGAATCAAGACTTCTACTGCAGTTAAGGTGGAGTGGAGTTCTCATTGACGTTTGATTAATTTAAAATTGTTTCCTACTGACTTGAATCAATTGTGCATGGAAGGTTTGCCTCCTTTGACATGATCTTTCTTTTTATGAAATAGAATTTGTGTCACAAAAGCAGCTTCTGTTCATGCCTCTTATGTTTGGCACTGCAGAGTCATTCTAAATGAAAATGCATGTGGGTAAAAGGTAGTTTAGCACAGGCATTGTGATTAGTCTTGATATATTACAGATGTTCTCTACTTCCTCCTGGGAAATCTCAGAGTATTTCAACCCTGTATCTTCCTTAATGAATATAATAAATCACCTCTTTACTTTGGGTACCCATCTATCTGATATATTAGCTGTAGAGCTCAGATGTGTTTCAGTTCTATTACCAAGTCCTAATATTTATTTTAAAATATTGTGCTGCTGACCACACAGCTGTGTGCTTCTCATTAAATACAGATTTCATTATGTTTGAGAGTTTCTGACTATTTGCTGCTCCTCATTCATTCATTGTATCCATTAATTGTCCTTCATAGACATTTTCCTATGTTTTTCTCCGTGTGTTAAATTTAAAGATCTGTTGAAAAAAATGAACGAAATACATGATCTTTTCTGGAAAAGTCATTACTGTAAAAAGAAAAAAACGGTGGAAATGGCATAATTTTTATGGGGCTAGTCATTTTATTGACTTTTTTTAAAATCCAAAAGGCAGCTCTTCAACCCCAACCTCACTGTGAAGATATCTGCGTTTGTGGTTTGGGGACCCCTTTAGTCCTGTCTGGGGGTTTTGACATTCTTGACCTTATAGCGAGTGCTGTCATTCCCTCAGTTAGGCAAAGTAATACTAAACACTGTAATATTATGCCCCTTTATAAAATTAGTTCAGGTTGGTAGCTGCGTCAGCATGCTTCAGCACCCCTTTATAAAATGTTTTGTTAAAAGTTCTTTATGTCTGTCTCGTTGTGTTTAGAATTTGACTTACCTACTGAAATGGAGTTAGACACAAGTTCAGAAGGGGTCAAATTGTAATTTCACACTTTTGCTCTCTTATGTACAGTATACTGTAAATACTCACCTGCTGTACAACTTTGTGCGCATACAGTATTTTCTTGCACTCCTCCCTTCACCCCATCTTCACCCTTGTATCAGCCTCCCTTGTTCATTCCTCTTAAGTGAGGAGAGTTTTTGCAGTCCTTACTTAGTCCTTACTGCTGGGGCCTAACACTACAATAAGCATTGCTATCCGCTTATATTTGTTGTGCTATCGTAAACAAAATTTGACCAAACTACACAATTATTTTACCAGTAACAGAGTAGAATAAAATTGGCATTGGATGTTTTGGACATGGTTAATTGGCTTACAAAAATGTTGCTTTAACACCCACTACTGCCAATTTTTTAATGTAACTTTCTGAATTCAGATGCCTACTGTCGATCCACCATAAATTGTCATGCTTTGGCTTTGTTTTTACAAAGGCTTTGGTTTTTTTCTTTACTAGCCTTAAAAGACCCACACACGTAACCCAAATCTGTCACGTTGCAAAAGCCTGACCACCTACAGAGCGAGTTAGTCACTTAATTGACAAAATCTTTCAGTGGACAAAAAATATTGAACATGCTTTAAAATATGCAAATAATCTCTGCAATATTATAATAAATTAAAATCAATAATGGTTTTATTTATTTAAAATTTCCTTCTTGAGAAAATGTTCCTTTCAGGGATTTGTTGTCAATCTGTATCAAATGTGTTACTCTTTTGAAACTGTTAGTAAATAAAAAAGAGACAGATCCCAAAACATTAATGAATAACCAAGCTTCTTGGAAAATTCAGTTCAATGTACCAGATTAATATTATATGCAATACTCATATACTGTATATTTATTAAAAAAATTTAATCACATTTTGGAAGATGCATCCATCCATGACCAAACACTGGGCATCTCAGAAGTATAGGGCACAAGGCAGAACTACACCCTGACTGGGATGTCAGTCCATCACAGAGCCCGCAGACACACTGGGACAATTAAAAATAAGCAATTAACTTAGCCAGCATGCCTCTTGGAGGTAGGACAAAACTAGAACATCTAATGAAAACATATATGTATTCAAGCAAAGTCCACATAGAGGGCTGCCAGTCCAGAATCTAGGGCCCAAAAGTTATGAGGCAATTTCAGGAATATTGCTTTTGGTTAATTTCACTAAAAACGTATTTAAATGAAAATTTTCTAGACTCTAGGAACTCTAATCTAAAATGTAATACAGCTTAAATTCCCTTTTCCTTCATTTAAAAATTCTGATACACACCAAATTAAGTCTTATTCTTTTGGCAATCTGAATAAGGATCTTCCTTTAATGTTGTTATCATGAATTTGTATTTTCAGTTCTATATTTATTATAATCATGTGTCATTTCAACATTGCGTTTTAATATTCAGGTTTTTTTGCTCTGTCTGGTGACAGCTTTATTTTAATTGTAGCAAGGTACTTATACTTAATCTAATTATATAAAAAAATGAAACACTTGCAGCAGTATGTACTGGAAGGGTCTTTTATATAGTTAAACAAAAGATTAGTGCTGTCACAAAAGATTCTAAATATTTCTGCCTTCACATTAGCAAACAGAACATCTTGAACAAATCCATTCTTAATGAGTCATTTACAGCCTTAGCATAATGAATATTTAATTTAAAATAAACTGTACCGGTTTCCCAGCAAAGTAATTTCACTAACAGCTACAAGAAGGAACAAATCCCTAATTTAACGTGTTAGTATCAGTCACTAATTGAGTGGTTCATGTAAGAGCAAATCACATGTTATATTAAAGTAATGTATAATGGCCTCCAGCCAACAGAGGAGTCACTCTGTAAGGGATCAATCTTCTAGTGAAATCTGAGGTATTGCACTAGTTTTCTTAATGTTGTGATGCACGTTTCTATGTTTTTGGATGCTCCAAAATAATGTTCAAAAGACCAATTAAATATAATCTTTTTTTTTGGATGGGGCAAACTTGGGTATTTTGATCAGAGGAGAACTATCAGCTATCAGTTTTATCCTTGATCAGCTTCACATGCTGGATCTCTCTTATCATCTTCTGCACTACTTTGGATGAACAGGATGTACAGCAAAGAAGTGAACACCATAGAAATAGCTATTTTCAAAAATATCTGGGCAACTGATTTTTTTTACTGTAACCTGTTTATTAGATCCCATTCTTACTGTTTTATTTCTGCCCTCAAATGAGTCTTTGACCACTGAAGTGGTACCAACAGCCTTTAAAATGCCTTCAGTTACCCAAGTGCGTAAATAAACAACCATGGTCCTGGACAATCTAATCACTTTTTGTCCTATATCCAACCTACCACATCTCGGAAAAATTTTATAACATGCTGTTGCAATTCAACTAAATAACCATCTCATTGCAAATAGCCTCTTCCAAACCCTCCAATCTGGTTTCAGACTTTTCCACAGCACTGAAAGTACCTTATTAAAGTTAATAACGATCTTGTAATGGCTGCCGATTCCAGTTCTCTATCTATCCTTATTCGCCTTGACCTCAGTGCTGCTTTTGATATCAGATGTTTTGATAGTTAATCATAACATCTTATTTTCTCATTTTAAATGGTTCATCTCTTACTTTACTGACCACCGACACTTTGCCTCTCTGGGGGTTTTCAGTTCTAAAGTTCTAAAAGGATTTGTTAAGTCTAGTGTTCCTCGGGGCTCAATACTGGGGCCCCTACTATTTAGCATTTAAATGTTCTCGCTTGGTCAGTTATTAAAATCACGTAGTCTGAATGATGATTTATGTCCTGTTGATGCTCAAGTTTACATCAATACTAAACTTGAAGTAGCTGTTTCTGCAGTCTCTAAATGCATCTCTGATATTAAATCCTGGATGACTAACAAGTTCCTTCATTTAAAGATTGAGGTCATGCTTCTTGGCCTTTCCCATCTACTACTGTACCTTAAGCCAATGCAGTAGCCCTATCTGTGCATGACACTTGAATTTTAATCTAAATTTAAAAATCCAGGGAAATATTTGACCCAGGCTTGACATGTGATCCACGTGCAAAATATTGCCAAAAAAATATAATTCTTCCATCTCAGAAACAACATGTCCTGTGTTGTCTCTGACTGTAGTAGAAAGGCTTGTCAACACATTCATCTTTTCCAGAATGTGTTACTGCAATCCCCTACTTGCTGGGATATCTAAATCCACACTAAAAAAACTTCAGTATGTCCAGAATTCATCAGACAGAATCCTGACCAGGTCACAGGTGATACTATTACTCATTTTCTGGAGTGCTTGTGCTCCCTATCAGGTTCTGTGTCAACTTTAAAATCCTCATGCTCACCTCAATTCAATTAAATTCAATTCAGTTTTATTTGTATAGCGCTTTTTACAATGGACATTGTCACAAAGCAGCTTTACAGATTTCCTGGCCTGAACCCCCAGTGAGCAAGCCTAAGGTGACAATGGCCAGAAAAACTCCCTCAGATTAAAGTAGGAAGAAACCTTGAGACAAACCAAAACTCACAAAAGGGAGAGCCTATCCTTCTCTGGCCCACACCAGGTTCATTAAAATGCACAGCTATGAAATTTTGTATTACATGGTGGGAAAAGCAAAGTAGTATTTTCAGCTCATGTACGGTGATGTCTAACAGTGTCCAGAATGTTTAGTTAGTTTCCTTCAGTTGTGATTTTCACAGAGAAGTTGAGTTCGGGGGTGGGGGGCAGGAGAGTACGCCAGGGTCATTCAGTCCGGTAGCCTTGTAGAGCCAAGCCTGGCAGGTGATCAAGTGAGCAGGACTGCATGATCAGCTTCAGCAGATACAGTAGGTAAGGAAGGGCTTTGTAGAGCATCGGCTATTGATTTTATGACTGGTAGAAGGAGCTGGATTCTGGACCTGGGCCTCCAAACAGTCCACCTCAGAAGGAATGGATAAAAAAAAGATAACGAAGTATTAGTGAATGACAATGAAAGCAGAAATTGGTAGATTGCATGGTCTGTTTTTTCTAAGTATTTATCTGTAGGCTTGACTAAACAAATGTGTTTTTAGCCTAGATTTGAACATTGAGAGTGTGTCTGAATCCTGTACATCTGTGGGAAGGCTATTTCATAATTGGGGAGCTCTATAAGAAAATGCTTTGTTGCCAGCTTTGACTTTTTTAATTCTAGGAACAACTACTGTAGGTAACCTGCTCCTTGTGATCGAAGTGTACAAGAGGGATTATAAGGGAATAAAAGATCACTCAAATATTGTGGGCCAAGACCATGCAGAGCTTTATAAGTGAGCAACAACAATTTATAATCAATGTGGAATTTAACAGGAAGCCAATGTAGAGATGACAGAACAGGAGTAATATGTTCATATTTTCTAGTTCTTGTGAGTACTCTAGCTGCCGCATTTTGAACTAAATGGAGTCTATTTAGCGACACCTCACATAAAAGGCTCGACGTGGTTTGCCACCTCCGTACCTATCTGTCTTATTATCCTACTACTCCCCACCATGGAATCTTTGTTCACCTGATTGTGGTCTCCTGTTTGTCTCTCAAGCTCACTTTAACTTATTATTATTCTGTCTCATTCCCAATATCTGGGCAACATTAGTCTTTAAACCAGGAACCCCCAATTCGTTGTTCGTTGTGAACTTTAGAGTATAACGAATGTTAAAGGAATAAAAATTGTATCCATCTTCTCCTTCTAGACAGGGGTAATGTGAGCTCAGACAGTGTATGTACTATATACAGTTTCCTGTTTTACTATTTTCATTTGTGTTATTGTTTTTAGTTTTTTGTTTAATGGCTTTTAGAATTAATGAATGTGAGGAGATAAAAGAATCAAATAAGAAGATCATTATCCTTGTTTTGAAGGCAAGGCTCTGGGGGCATAAATCCTAAGATTTGCCCTGTTACTGCAGCGATTCAAAGAGCGACCCAGCATGATGATGAATGTAAGATCAAAATTACATTTGATGACAGTGTCAATTAACGCTCCCCCCCCCACTAGGACAAAAAATAGCACAAAGGATAATTTGAACGTTTGAATTCTTGAAAGAGCAGCAGGCCTGTGTGGTATTTGACGTGATAGCTGTCTCTTGAAAGGCACTCTGAAAACAGTAAGGTGCTTTATGAGCGAGGTTTGGGCACGTATCTGGAAATGCAGTGCCTGTTACTTCTCTGACAACTAACATTGCTGCTGAGGTTTAACAGGTTATTAGAGCCTCTGAGACAAGTTGCCTTTTGATCAGACATGAAAAGAACAAGCTCCAGAGCAGCTTTTATGTCCCCATGAGTCATCCTTTTCTTTAAGCGCTCCTTTAGTTCAGAGTCAGTCTTTATGCTTTTACACATCTTTCAGAAAAACACTCCTCCCCAGCCTGTATTTAGAACTAATGGGAATTAAAAAAAATGCAAACCCCAACTCAGCTAAATATGTATCATTTTGGAGACACAGGCAAATATAAGTTTGTGTATTTGTATACACTAACTACTATATATACTGTAAGGCTTATAGTTTAGTATGGTGTTTGTGTATACAAACAAATCTTTATTTTAGTAGGCTGCCCTTTATATTAAATCACCTCAGCTTGTTGTAAATAAATTAAACAACTCAGTCACAAACAGAAAAGGCATTGGTCAACTGAAATGTTAAAAATCATTAAAATATACTGTACAAAAAGCTGAAGAATTCGAGGGAACCACAATTCTGTTACACCACATGTTTTTGCCAAGTTGTTTTAACACTGATATTCTTTTTGCTTAGCTTCCTCATCTTCATTGTTTTTTAAAAGTTATTTGTAAGGGGATACATGTTTTAAACAGTTCACCAGCTAGGAAAGAAGTATTTTTTTTAATTAGTTTTACGTTCATTTCTTCCAGCAAACAGAGAGAGGAAATCAGATCAATTGTCTAATTTTATTTTCCCTGGTAGAACGTAGCGCCAGAGCCTGTGAAAGAGGAATCTCTACTAGATCTGGACTTCGACCCATTCAAACCAGACTCAACAACACCAGTTGGAAGGATGCAGTCTGCCATCTCAGAGGTACTTTCTTTATGGTTTAGAAGCATTTAGAATGCACACAGAGAAATGAAACTATTTAGTTAAACTTGTTCATGTGTTTGTGCATTCATGTCCCCTTACTGATCAGAGGAAAGCCAACTACCTTGACTTTACATTAAAAGCAGTAAATATACCACATCCAAATTACAGCATTTACCACCATTTAAAATAAATCATATAAACATATTTTAATGAATAACAAGTAAAGGTTTATTCCATGCTGAAAAGAGAAGAAAAGAAACACAACCTGTCACACCCGAAGAAGGCTCCATAGCCCAAACGTTGTGTTTTTTTCCATTTTCAGCATGAAATAAACCTTTACCTGTTCCTTTGCAGCTTCAGCATGTTGACACAGCTACCTGCTTGAAATATTTTAATGAGTATTGCTTTCAGTTCATATATCAGTTTCATGGTTTAAAGGCAGTGAGCATTCTTTTCTTGCTAAAGGACTGACAAGTAGAAAAACAGTTAAGCTCTTACAGGTACAGTAGTCATCTGTTAATTTAAGTATGCTGAGGCTGGAATTGAAAAAAAAAGAATAAAACATGTTTACATGAAAACAAAACAACATCAAAAGCAACAGTGGATAACTGCAGATTAAAATCACAGTACTTGATGGCTTTTTTGTTCTAGGCAAAGTCTTCTCCTCCCGTTTTGTGAAAACATTTGCAATTTGTGATTGATCTGGTTTAATTTCATTACCACAAATGTGAAGAAATCCTCAAACAAGAGTCATGAAAAAATAATAATGATGCATGTTGCTATTTTATGACAAGACAAATTATTGAGCTCTTTGTTTTCTAAGTAAGAATTGGAAACAAACTGTAATCGTTATCCAACAGAGGAATACAAGTGAGATGTATTAAGTAGCCTGTTATTGCCTACATACTGTAAATTACTCATGTTGTTCTGTTTTGTAGACATTACCATGGGATTTGTGGACGGTAAGGTTTTGTTTTCATGACTTTTTAATGTTTTGATTGGTCTAGTCCTAATAAATGTAGTACACTATTCTAGTTTTTGTTGTTGCTATAAACATAATACACGAACTTGCCTGATTTTCCAATGCAAGCAAGTCTGAATAGGGGATGATTGTAAAAATGAAATGACTTGCAGTTTGCATTGCACATATAATGTTAAATGTGTTAAAGGAAGGAGTAATCGTCCTTCTTTGATCCCAAGATGGAATGATAAAAAGCTAAAAATAAAGGTTTTCAATGTTTTCTGTAGTCTGTAGATTTCAACTTTCAAATCAAAAGTAGGGTGCACATCAAATCCTATAGGTTACCATGTTTCTTACAAGCTTGATGAAGCAAGGAAAGTGCTTCGCAGGTATGAAGGGGTTTTGTTTTAGCTTTGTCTCTGCAACTAGAGTTAACTACTGTAGGTCAGGTTTGTTTGAACGCAAGTTAAAACACAGGAAATATGCTTTTATCCACGTGACTGAATAATTGGAAACAACATTATATAAATTATGAGAATAATTATTTGCATCTCTTTGGGATAGCACTTTTATCCCAAACGATTCCTTATTTAATGCTCAATTGTCACAATTTATCATTTCTAATTGTTTTCCTGTACATACAATACAATACTGCCAATGTCTTTATGCCCATTAACATACACTGATATTGCTGAATGGTATTATGTTTCTAATTCAGAGCTAATGTCTGACTTCTGTCTTGTTAAGCTCACTAAAGGCATGACATAATGAAGTGTAGTACAGTAGGATGCAAAGCAAATGCTAAGATTTATCTGCTTATGAAATTGTTACAAACCCATCTATTTGTTTATTTTTAGGCAAGTTCGGGTCCTCCCCAACCTGTAAGTAGTCATTATAAAAAGAATTAGTTCTGACCATAGACATTGTTATTTTGTAAAATTTAATGAATTTCAATTATATAATTCTGCTCGAGTTTATATTAACTTATTAACTTTATATTAATATTACAAAAACTTGAAGGACATGGAAATTGGTGTCAGCTGAACAGCGGAATTTAGATATCATGATTAGATGATTCAAACAAGACTTTTGCTTTGCTACAGTATACATACAGTAATGTTAGTTCATAGAAACATTTTTTACACAATTGTTCTGCTCATAAAAATGTGCGCGTCATCTTATTCAGTGTCCTTTGCTTCCAAGTGGATGTCATTGGCTATGCTTTAGACATTTCCAATATATTTAAACAATTATATATCATGCTTTGTCCTTTTTTGTTTCTTTTTAAATTTATCTGATCAATTTTTGGATTTCTTTCTCATTTTAAATGGCTTTCTGTTCTTTCTTTACTTTGTCTTGCTGATCCAAAGCCTGACTCTTCAAAAAGTCTTTCTCTCTGTAACCTCGCTATGGATGACAGTGCTCAAGGTCACAATGCAGAAGACATTACCCGGTCACATTCGGACCAGGGTTCGAGCAGCAGCTTTGCCACAAACTGGGCCACAGAGTTTAGTGTTCCAAGTGATGGAGGGGTGGCCTCCCTGGAGTATGGAGAATCCGAGCTGCCTCCTCCACTTCCATCTTCCCAGGGGGAGCAAGAGACCATGGAAGATGTTAGCCAGTTATTTACACACTCTGGGGAGGCTGTAGAGGGCCAGGGAGAGAAAGGGCATGCCTGGCCACCAGCGGACAGCTGGGAAGAGGCAACCCAGGAGGAGAAGGAGGGAGATGCTGCAGGAGCGGAGGTTAGGAGCTGGGAAACCACTGAGTGTCCAGATCCGAACCTAGACTGTGTTCCCTGTGCTGTAGGTCATGGCTTGACGGACACCAAGGGGGCTGAGGCTAGTGGTGTTGAGCAGACTTGTACCGAATCTCTTAGGCAGAGTTGGGATGCCAGTGAGCTCAAGATGCCAGGGATTATATTTACCAATGAATATGGGCAGGAGATAGAGGACATCACTCTGGAGAGTGAGGCAGGACTCAGGCTAGTTCAGGGCTTCAACAGCACTGACACACAATACACCTATGAGTTTGGGTTATCAGGGCACGATCCTATAGGTGGGCTAGGACCTGATTATGAGACAGCAGGAGACTGGACTAGTGAAGAGCAGACTACGCAATGGGAATGTGACACTACCGAACCTCCAGCTGTAGAAGACATTGACACACTGACAGAAGGGGAAGCAGAGAGGCACAGTCCAGAAAATGTTGTGGAGGAGACCTCAGAAAACCAGGGTAGCACAAGCCAAGCTGAACCCATCCTTATGGAGCCTGAGAACCAGGACAGCAATGCAGCAGGTAGCATTGGTTTTCTAACTGCGTCTACAAGGAGAGATTTGGAAGAACAGAAAGAAACTCCCTTGTCCAGTGGGTCTACGTTTGAGGATGTGTCCAGTGTCACTGTACCTATGGAGAAATGTTCGAGCTTACATGATCCCTTTGAAAATGAGAGTTTAGCTGAGCCCTTTAAAGACGATGCCACCTGCCAGCCAGATGCACTTCACATGCAGGACAGTGACAACAGGTTGGATAGTAGTCATGTGGCCGAAATTGTTCATGATCCGTTCACGGAAAATTCAGAAGGGTGGGTATCAGACCCCTGGGCTGCTAATAAGAACCCAATATGGCCAGAAAACTGGGAACCCACGGTAAGCAATGAGGACTGGGGCTTCCCCAGCCCCTCTGAAAGTCAAGCCAATGGCTTTGAACAGTGGCCATCATTCCCTGACACATCTGCTGATAAAGAAGGCACCAGCAGCAACCCCTGGCAAGAGATTAGCGACAGCAGTGGCTTTTGGTCCACTGATGGGCTGGGGGACACTGGCACTAGCTGGGGAGATGCTGACCAGAAAGAGGACTTTCTCGCAACACAAAGTGCAAATGCTGAGAAAGAAGGTAACTTCTCAGGTGAGCCGGGTAAAGACCGGTCCAAGGCGCCAGGTCTCTTTGAAACTGAGAACTCCAGGAATGCTAGCATCGAGAGCTCGTCCAGCCATAAAGATAATGAAACCAACAGCTCTGACTTGTCAGAAGATGAGGTTGCAAACCGGAGATTCGGATTGTTATACCAAGAAATAGATGCTGAGAAGGAAGAGGTACTTAATTTTCTACCCGTGCGTAGCGTAGAATAGTTCAGAGCAACAGCCCCCTTCCCCAAGATGTGACACAGAACCGAGTGTTTCACAACATTCCTCCCTGATCTTTCCTACAGTATCCAGTCTCCTTTCCCGTATCTCTGCCTATTACGTTTTAAAAAAAAAGTCATAATCATTCACCATTACCATTGTTACACAATTCTATCTTATTTCCAAGTCATATAGAAATGTAATTTTCTTTCTTTCTGATTCAATATAGGTGTCCAACAATGCTTTTAACGGATTCTCCCAGGTAAAAAACACTCTGAAACGTTAATATGCTTCAGTTGTTAAGCTACAAATTACCAAATGCTGCCAAGCAGCAGAATACATGGATTTGACATAAGGAGACTCCAGCCCTTGGTGCTCATTCATGTTAAGACAGTCTGTTTTTACTTAATTCCTTCACACCTACTGGCTAGTACCAAAGAACAATCAAATGTTCATGTTTGGTGTTCTCTATTCTGAATTAAGTACCATATGGTCTTATAATTATTATACAAAAACATATTTTTCCTTCTACTAACATTACCCTAAAGTTTTCACTTATCAGAAGTGAACTTCATGAGTGATAATAACTAACAGAATTGTTATAAGACCATTATGACTTACGTTTTTATATATTTATGTACTGTATATATGACGTAGTGCCACAATGGATACCAAACATCTGTATGAAAATATATCTGAAATATATCTGAAGCTGGTGATTTAGTGCAGAAATATTTTGATCCTGAGAGACCTGCATTTATTAAGAATGACTGTGCTACTGATGTCTTGGAAATAGTAGTGAAAGAGGGTGTCAAATGTATTTATTTATGTAGGAAAAAACAATTGTGTAACAAAATCAATGGCTGCTTCTGATTGTTTATCAGGATCTTTCATGTGGAAGTCTCCCTTGTACTATCATCACAGTCCAACATTTCTGAAAGATTCACACAAACATGGATATGTATTTGACTTCCTATTGACCTTAAAGGGCAAAATACAATCCATCACACACAGCAGTCATTGCTAGACATATGTGTAAGCATATGTGCCAAGAGACATTCCATATCCTTAAACATATTTAACACGCAAGGATAAATGTAAAGAATTACAGTATGCCGTTTATTTCTGAATTATGGTGACAATGTAAAACCACTGACATAAAAAGATTATTGTTTGAAATATAGCTGAAAAGAAGAGTATGAGACGCATTTTGGTCATCTCAGGGCAGCATTCAGGAGTCTTCTTCTTTTGGTAATCTTTTTAATTTGTTACATAACATTAAACGTCACTACAAGACAGAAGAGTGTCTCTGCAACATGTACGACCTGCTTATACAGTACAATGCAATGTTCTTGTTATTTATTTTGTGTCTTGTTAGTTTTCGCAGAGGATCTAAAGAGTCCCTATTATTGGCGTGAAATTTCAAGAGTGCATTGTCTTTACCCCCCTCCCCTCAGGAAACATACTCTTTCTGGAGTTAAAATACATTCTCTAATTAAAATATTAATGATGAACTGGTACAACCTGCAGTTCAGTCCATCACGATATTACCCTCATCACACAATCATCAGAAGGCTAGAGGGATGAGAAGGAAGTCACCTAGAAATGTTTGAGAACTGCAAAGATTAGCCTGCATGTCATGCCGTGTTCATACCTATTTTTTAGTGAAGGTTCCTAATATTGTGGCCTAGGACTATACCAATGACATGGCTTGGTGGTATGGAGGTTATCATTTCTGGCTCACAGCTCCAGGGTCCTGGGTCAGATTCTGGGACCTAAGGGTCAGTCTTACATGTTCTACAGTACCTGCATAAATTTTGCCAGCTGTTCTGGTTTCATCCTGTTTCCCAAAGACATACAACTTAAGTCTGATGATTTAGGATTAGATTAGTTTAGACTAATTGTCTGCTGTGGGGTGTTTCTACCCATGAGAGATTAGGATGTACTGTAAGACTTCAGATTTAGAGTATAACTAGTATTACTGGGATCAGTTTTATATGTGGCACCTACTGTTTGGACGTGTTATAGTAGAAGAAAAAACAGCCAAAATATTCCTCCAGCATTTTATTGAGGCCTTTCCGTTACTACAGAATTAGCCACAGGGCATGAACTTCATCTTAAATGCCTTAGAACAGCTAATAATCCTGCTTCCACACTGAAAACAAATTAATGGCAAAGAAGTAATTTCAGCAACGCTTGAAAGGGCTTCTGACATTTACAACTCAATATGCAGTGGTGCTCTGCAAGCTTAATAAAAGAAACTTAGACACTAATTAAAATGCGCTGGGGAATTTATTCTAATATCTAGGGACAGTGAGAGGTCTGCCTTGACTTTTACAATAATTACTCACCTAATAAGCCACAAAACACAACAGATGGGCATGCATTGTTTTTTTTTACACCACAAACACATTCAATATCTTTGATTGTATATAGTGTTACCTAGGGCTTATTCAAATAACAATTGAAGTGGATTCCTCAGCTGCACTTTAAACTACTTAGACAACCTCATAGTCATAATAATTATGAATGCATGAATCTTGTATTGCTAGGATGATGTTTGTGACGCAATCTTGTTTTTGTTTAAATTCTCTCTCTCACGACTAAGCTGGACACTGGGGTTTCCGTGTTTACCTCTGATTCCAACCAGAGTGTTTTTGATGCAATGGTGAGTCACCCATTTCTGTGCTGGAAATTAAAAAAAAAAATTCTTAATGCTTAAAAGTGCTTGATCTGAACTAAAAGATATTTTGTAACCCCGCCTGTAATAAGTAATGAATTTTAAAATGTTTACATATTTATTACTACTTTTGTATGTGTTGTATGTGTATCAGGTACTGTATGCCTGATTTTTGAGGAACATTTTATTAATTACTTTTTCTTCATTGTTTTCTGATGTGGGTTTCTAACATTAAAAAAAAGAGATGGGTCAAAGGCATTCAGACTGATTGAGAGACTTGAGGACATGAGCAGAGACTGCATCTGGTCATGTTACTTCTCAGAGATTCAAAACAGTAGCTTTAAAAGGAATCAAAGGATAATTCGCCCACAGTTCATCAAGCTTTCAGTTCCAAGTTTATTTTATTGCTCTAGATCAGGAATCTCCTGGTTTTGTAGATCCCTACTAAATCACCAATTTCTAAAATGAGTAAATTGTAAGTACTGTACTCTTCAGCCCTCAAAGACCTGAGTTCACTTAATTGAACATTTTACTTGTTTGATGCATCAGTAGCTTACAAGTGTTGTTCAACATGTGAAACTATGAGATCTATGACTATAAGAGAACTATAAAACTACCTGGATTGGAACTCATCAAGACCGGGGTTGCTCTAGGGAAAAATATACATGGACTGAGCAAGTGTATCAGACTGTCTTGTGAGGGTAGTAATAGTTTCATAATGTTACCCTGGTCATAATTCCAGTCTGAATGGATCTTTAAAGATTTAGTAGAGGCTTCTTTGAGTAAGTATGTTTGGCACTTCCTGGGTAAAAAGAAATATTGCTGTAGGTGAAGTTTATTTTTAAAGTACATTATCATAACGTAAAGTACATGGCTTGCTGGGATTGGCTTCAGGTCCTCTGTGACCCTTTATTAGATAAAGAGGTTATAGATAAAGGGGATGGATGGGTATAAATATGGCTCAGTATATTTGCAGTGATACGTATGTCATTATATTAAGAAGATGACTAAATTTCAGGTATTTACTATATTTGTGGTTTTACAATGACAATAGTCTTACAGATGTCAAACCTAGACTCGTAACAAAATGTGTTTTAATTCTGATTTGCATTTTTTATTGCTTACTGGATATTGCTTATACACCTTCTGGAACTTTTGACTAATTTTTTTAACAATTCAATTAACATGGTCAATGAAAATTGTTCCTTTGCCTTATTTTTCATAAATATACAGTACAAGTTCTTTATTTTTTGTCAAAAATATACTGTATAAAAGCATACAGAACACAAACAACACCCAATCATAAGCAATTGACCTTCCCCTATATGGGAAAATTGATATTCCTGAATTTTAAACCTAAATAATATTTAGTTTTTCCTAGTTTATTATCTGTACATTTTACAGAGTTTTTACATGTTGTTAGCATTTCAGTGTATTTTCTATATGTTTTTGACTCAGTATTTCATTGAAAGCTGTAACACAAACAATTCACCAAAGTGGCAGAAATGTCATTGTTTATATGCCTATAGCCTTTGTTGGTAGAAACAGTAAACATATGTTTTTTATGCATACATGCTGTATACTTTCTTGATAGTTTTCCGGTTTGATAATGCTTCCGTTTTTGGTAAAATAATTTGTGAAGGATGTGTCTGTGCGTGGGTGTTTGTACAGTATATCACATACAGCTTTTTTCCCCACAAAATACATTATTTAATTCTGTCACAGAGTGCTTCTTATGAACTCTTCAGAACATACAAGAGACCTCATATAAAGCCTGGTGTTTTAGGTGTGGCTACACTAGTATTAGGCTGAGAGGAGTTGTGTGTGTGTGGCGTGTTTAATGGTGTTCTTCCATCCCTGTCTTCTAAAAAGCCTGCAGCTGAGGCTGCTGCCCCTGCTGTGGACACTGTGGCCCCAGAGCCCGTCCCCGAGCCCAGTCAGGAGCCTCTCCCTGCTGAGCTTGCTGAGCCAGCGGAGAAGGCAGCGGTGAGTCTCAAAGCTCATCGGAATCATCATCATCATCGTATTTGCCAACGTGATAGTCATGCTCTTTGCTCCCCCCCCAGTGCCAGCTGCTACCCCCTCCCTTTCATTCATTCATTCATTCATCCATCCACAGCTTTGGGTATGTTTGTGTTTGCTTCAGGCATTGCGGTCTGCCTTCAGGTTTTGAGCCATCTGCTAAGGAATGTTGCCCTGCCAAGTGTGAAAATAAGCACTTCATTATTTTTGTTTTATCACATTTTTCTGTGATACATTTAAAAACTTCTACTCTTCGTAGCATCGTCTTTAACAATGGTTCTTTTTTTCTTTGCCCATGGCTATCTAGACAAGCTTTATCTTGCAGTTTTGCACAGAAGAAAAAAAAGCATGTTTAATTAGATTTCGTTCCCCATTATAAAATGCTGATAACGTTTTATCAAAAAGTAACACTCCACAGACAGCCTTCAGACAGGCAGATCTTATACAGGAGATAACTTAATAACAACCCCTGTCCATTCAGCATCACTTAAAATAAGGAATAGCTTCAACTTGTAAGAAGTATGAACCTCTCTGTTGTTCTTCCGAAAGAATCTCCTGATAGAAAAGAGGAGATGATTTTAGGTGAATGCTGAACCTTTCAGTCTGACAGTATCTTCAATATCTTTATTCATTTTTCTGTCTCCAGTTTATGTTCATTTTGGATTAAAGAAACAAAGGAAATAAGGACAGGAGAAGGGAGCCATTTCAAATAGCCAGTTGGATTCATAATTCTTACTGACAATTTTTAAAATGTTTTCTTTTACTGTAACAGTATGCCTTTCCTGTGACAATAGCAAAGACCACATGATGACTTTTCTTGTGCACTTGATAATTCACAGTTACTGTAGGTCATCATTTAAGTGCTAAGTAAAAACTGTAGTTAAAGCTCAAAATTAGACTTTAACCTTTCAAACTAAAAAAATTAAACTTTGAAACTGTGTTTAAATGAAAACTGTTTCTTGCAGTCAATTATTTTTTTCTCTTAAGAGCAGACTGCAGTCTGCAATCCTTTCTGAATGGATTTTAGAGATAATCAGAACCATTTAATGCTTGCCATTTTCCATAGCTTCCCCTTAGTACTTGGCTGCAGGTTAGAAACACTAAAAACAGCTGCAAATACTGTCCAATGGCACAGCTGAATCAATAATAAAAGATTGTGCGGAACTGGCGAAGGGATAATTACACACCAATCGTCACATCAAGCACCACAACCCTGCAGCAGTGTTGCGTTCTCCATTATGGCCCGTTTCCTCCAACTGTTGGCAATGAATTTTATCGTTGTGGCTGCCTCAAAGGATAAGATAAGGAATATTACATTACAGTAAGGCAGAGGTTCACCCCTGAGAAAGCAAAGATGTTTTTCAGTTACACTATTGTGTTGTTGTACACAATATAATCAACTCCATGATAAAATGGAGTTGAAGTACATTTGAAAAATAGGCTCAAAATGTATTTTGTATTGTGAGAGAACTGTGTATTATGTAAATCATAAGAAACTTTGCAAATGAGGAGAACATTTGACCTGTTTAGCTCATTAACTTGTGAGTGATTTATTGATCTTGAAGATCTCACCCAGATGCTTCTTGTTGTGAATGAACTTTAACTGGGGTATGTGGGTAGATTGCTCCAGGCTTTCATAAATCTTTGTGTGAAAATGTGCCAGAAAATGTCAGAAATGGAAAATAAAACATAATATTATGTATTTATTATGTAATATTTGTATTTTATGTTTAAGTTGAGTAATAAACATATTTTTTTATGAAATACTTTCCACCTGGGCACCCAGGTTGGGGGGTTGGGGACCAATTGCTACTTAAGCAATGTAAGTGGATATTTAACTAAGAGCTCGCAGTAAGCTTGTCAAAGGGATATAATAAAATGGTATTGAAAGAATGATAATATTTCGTCAGCAAGAAAACCATTTGACCACATCATAAGCAGAAATATAGGGGACTCAGCATGCAGACTGGACCCTAGAAATGGAATATCAGTAAGAACCAGAGATGAATGCCTCACTCAGTGGTGTACTTTTATTATAATGGGTAGAGTTCAAAGCTTATCTGAATGCTGACTCCTGGATAATCAGCCAAATGGAAGATTTGCTTGTCTGACTAAGGATTGGGTACTTCACTTTGGAATGAGGCCTAAAACGGTTGTTCTCTGTGGAAAAGTTTTTTTTGCAAAACCAATTGATGAATGACGCAATTTGGCCTTTGGGGAATAATCCATTAGGAGAAAAGCCACAGAAAATTAACTTTATCATTTAAAATGCACATTTCATTGACCTCCATGTCACAAAGACAAGAGTGAGTCACGACAAAGACAGTAGCATGATTATCCTTTTACAAACTTATTCTACTTCAGGCATTTTCAGAAAAGACTAAAAGTCAGTTACTATTAGTCATTACCATTCATTTGTATATTATTACAGTTTCTAACATTTTATCCTTTGCAGATATCAAAATGTAACGGTCTTTGAAATAATCCAATATTTGTATATGGATAAGCCAGCCTCTTCCAGACTAACTGTCTTCTTTATACAATATATTTAAAATGAACGGCAGTGGTGTACAATCTTTGCAAAATAAATTTCTTCCACACAGGTAATTGTTTTAAATCAAACTGGCAAAATGCACCAACAAATTAACCTGGCAGTCTGACCCAGCATGGTTTATTTTTATACCAATTGAAAGTTTAGTTTGACTGAATTTTTCTTTTTTCTGTGAGACAGATCTACAGATAATTTGTTGTGGTCTGAAACAGATTAGACAAATTTTTTTTCCCTCCAAGTTTCCATGGTTCCAACCCTGGCTACTTCAGTTACAGGATGTCACCTGGCTTTACTGGTTTGAGCAACTAAGATGTTTAAAGACAAAAGGACAAACACTTTGACAATAAAACAAAGTTTGTTCGCTTATCTCAAATGGGAAAATCGTCAACATTTGTAATACCTCTTTGAACCTAAGTACCTCAGGTGATAATTTATATCTGTTACAGTATATACAGTATATATCAATATAAAAAAGTAGTTATTCCATCAACACTAATGATTAAGCTTATGGCTGAAGTCTAAGTAGTGATCTATCAGAACTCTAACTGGTGATCTTTTAGAGCTGTCTGGATTACTTTAACATAATAAGAGCTTGTCAGCCTGTCATATCATGCTGGTCCTTCTCTGGTTGCTATGCATCTGAAGCTTTTGAGCCATTCTTTTTCATTTGAGATACTGTATATTAGCCCACAGCATCTCTGCAATATAAATGACGAATCTTTTGAGAAGCCCTTTTAACTATAGTCCTACACCAGCAAGAGACTGGTGCAAAACGAGCTCGCAGCAGCAAAATGCCCTAACTGTCCTTCACGGTTGCAAGCAATTTAAAACATCACAAGTGCATTCAAGAGATACATGAATGGATGTGTTTTAATTTCAGTAATATGTACTGTATGTTCACAATCCATACATACAGAAATGTTTGAAAATGTTGCTTTGCTGTCTTTGTTTCAGACAGTACAGTGAAAAATAATAATACTTTTTCTATAATGCTTAGTCTCGGATCATACTGTATATGAATCATGGCGGGTTTCAGAAAGAGTTATGGGGAAGGCTTAATAACTTGGTGTTGTTAAAAAGACCATACATACAGATCAAAACATGACTTGGGAAAAAGGCTATTTCTTATAATTTGCTGTCACACCAATGAAATTTTGAAACCTGGACTGAAAAAGTTTGGGAATCAGCTGTCCAGCATGCTGTGTAAATAAAAAATAAAATAAGACTTGAAATCCAAATGTTTTCTATTTGTCACAAAATCACACAGCACAAATCGAACCAAAATTGATTTTTGAAATATGAAATGAAAACCTCGTGCTTAAATAGCAGCAATGTGCAGTAGCACCGAAACTCACAATTTTCCTGGCATTCAGAAGACAAACCTGCTTTATATGTACTGTATAATGCTGCTCATCAGTTTCTGCCATAGTGCTCATAATGTATTGTCATCAGGGACCACACCTACCTGTAAGACACACTTAGTTTATTAACTAAACTAAGAATTCCACCCTGGACAGCAGTTTGCACTGCTGCAATAGATCTCCAGTGCTCTTCTGGTGCTGCCTGGGGAGCCCAATGTTAATGGTACCCTGTTGTTCCCTCCCTGTGAAGGATGTCACTGAGGCTGAAGTCAAAGAGTCTGCAGTGAGCTCTGATGTGCAGCCTGCTGAGGTATGTATAAGCAGCCATGGGCTTCCACCCAGTCAATAGTTCCATCATCACCATCTGTACTACAAAGATCACATCTGCTACCAACAGAAAAGGTCTTTCTGCTCTGATGTGCATGAGAGATGCATGTGATTAGGGACTTTGTGTATACAGTATGTACAGCATACAGTATGTATGCTTCTAAAGTATATGTAATTACATTGCATACTGTACATATATCTTTATGTTTTAGTGGTTTATTTCATAAATAGGTGAAATGGATGGTCTATGTCCACTTAGAATGGAACCACAGAGTATGAATTGAGCTCCATCATTCATTCAGCGTTAAAACCAGCAAGAGTTCATTAGCTTCTCTGTCTTTAGCACCAAGTAATGCAGGTGGAAAACAAGCACATACCTTTCACTGTATCATTGTCCACCTTGTCATTTTCATATACAAGTTTGCTTAACTTGGTGTGTAGATTTTAAATGGCCTGTGAAAGTTTGGTTTTTAGTGCAACTACTGTACATGTGCTAGTGTGCATGTTATGTGTGCAGATTTAATAGGAGCAGATTAAACATGGGGGTAAAATGCATGGTTTCCCCATGTTGAAAAATAAAAAAATATACATTACAATGTCTCAAATGAGGGCAATGCACACAACCTTTTTTTAATGCTATGAGCATTTGTTTTATGAGTGAAAACTGAAGATGGTAGAAAGGAATTCTTAATACTGGAAAAAACTTTTGAATCAATTTCAAACATAATAATTAATCTACAATGTGTTTTTAAAAAATAATCAGTCTATACAGTGAGAGTCGCTTCACTTCTGTCAAGAGTTCCACATCCTCTAATCATTATCATTATAAGAACATTACATGCATTTAATCTAAAAGTAATTTTATAAAATGGAAAAAGCACTTGTATATGTATTAGCAATTACCCATCGCCTCAAGACAACACAAAAATGTTAACAATAATTAGGATGTACTGTACTTGTTTCTGTACTGTGGGATTGGTGATGTACTGTGATGTTGAAAGTATTAATTTAGTGCTTTCTTCACTGCAAAATTGGACCAGTATGGAGTATATTAGCTGTGCAATTTCCTTCTGGTTTCTTCAGATTTTAGTGGATTAACATCATTTTGTACCTCAGCTCTGGTTGTCTACTTATGCAAACATGGTTTATTCACTTTCCTTTAAGTAATGAAGTCCCAAAGGTTTGTTTCATCACAAATTAAAAGTATACATTTGTTGGCATGCGATGTCCCTTTCTTTATTTAATTTAAATTATTTTTAATTTATTAGAATATATTTATACTGTGATTTATTTTTGTGGTACTTTGTGTGCTGTAATGGTTATACTTTTTTTTACTGAAGAAGTGATAGAATGTTAAAAGCCATAAGGTGCACTGTATTTATTTTTGAAATAGGTGATTTATTTCCCAAAATTGTTATTTTTGTATGTAAACCGAGAGGCAAAGTAATGACTGCACTGTTTTTTGAGGTCTGAGGTATTTCAAAACAAACACACATTATTTGTTAGCAGTCTCGTAGAAACTGTTAGCAGCCTTTTATTCAAAATTAAATACAGAGACATCTTTGAAATGTAAGGAGGTACAGTACATTATCTTCAACAGCTGCTTCAGCTTTTTCAGGGTAACACACTTTAAACTAGTGTGTTTCAGTGGAAAACTCCTGATAAAAACACTGCTACCTCCTTTCTATTCTGAGTTTAGAAATTACTGTAATTTGTAAGAATAATCATAGAGAGCCTCATACTTCATACTGTACATCCTGATGTCTCCACTGAAAACAGGTTTATCTATTCTGTATATAATTTGACCTTGTGTTGTAAAACTGGGATTTTTGTACAACAATATATATTTTTGCTGCTGTTGTTTTTTTTAAGTGTTCACATTTCACAGAAAGAAGACCAGAATCCTCTTTCTGGTCTATACTGTATTTGCCTTACAGTATAACGGTTCTACAGTTCTATGGAGTTTATTTGTTTTACTTTCACTGTTTACTTTAGAATTGCCAGAAGTACAGTATATTGACCTGAAGTTTGGTCTTTGTAAATTTACAAGCATTTTATATTCCCTCCAAGGACAGCGTACAAGATGTGTTAACTTTTCTCTGTAAATCTGCTGAACACACATCTACTGAATAGAATACTAGTATTTATAGCTTCAGTGTCACTTTTCTGACTATTTGGGAAGACTCCTTGTGGTTTCTTTGAGCATTTTAAAAAGTAAATTTTATAAAGTTGTTTAATGTGATGTATTAGTTGCTAGTACACATATGTACATATATAAACTAATATATAAACATACATATAACAAGATAATTTAAAATTACATTGTTATAAGAGGTCAGGTATGGCAAAACGTGTTTGTGAACCTCTTTATTCCTGGTATTATATTGCAGTTATTCATGTTGCATGTGTGGGTATGCCTCTATGATACCTTCATCCATATTTCTCTCCTTTTGTTAGTGTAAGATGTGTACTCTTGTCTTTCTTTTCATTTTTAAACAAACAATGGGGAACTTTGAAAGCTCTATCACTTCTCCTGTTAGTTGTGATAGCCAGGTTCCTATTACTTAAAAAAGTGGAAAAACCTAAACCAACAATTACACACACACACTGGAAATTTAATATGTTGTCACACCAACAACAGAGTTTTACCCTACAGAGTGTAATTAATTGCAGACTGATGGTTATGTCTGTGTCACAGATTTATAGTAAAAATATCCAAAATGTAATGTACTGTACATAAGAAGCATGTTTCTGCACATTTAATATAGGCAATGCACAGTACTGTATATGATTTCCAAAATAAGGCAGTTGTATATTTTGGGGCATAAACATTGGTGTTTTGTTAGTGAGTCATAGAGAATAATATATGGTGTAATACAGTTCACATGCTTGAATTATGGGTTGTGTCACTTATTTGTGTTCCTTAAGGGAAGAATGCTAACTCCCCTCACCCACTCCAGAGTTAAATAATAAAGTTAATACATTCCAGATTTTGAAATAAATTAGATCCTGTGTGGTGTAGATCAGTATGTACAATCCCTTTCCCTTCTGAAGTCTTAAGATTAAAATGAAACCAGGGTCATAATGATAATGAACTCAGAACTTGTAGCTCATGTCCAAAGTCCAGGTACTTATAGCATATAGATCCAATGACTTCAATACAGTGTGGCCCTAACTGAGAACCTGAAACAGTGAATTCAGTCCAACAGCTGAGTGACATTATATTATAAGATGAGAAATACTTGCTGTGGATAACTCATTTGAATTTACCCATTGCCTAATATGCCACCAACCTCAACCTCTAAATTTACAAGGATCACATGGGGAAAAAACTCAATAAACCTTAGCTCACAGAAAAATAAAAAATGTTAGTATCCATATTAATTGCACAGCTACTATAGATTGGGCCTCACAATTAGTCATCAATTATCTGTAAATTAAAATGACAAGGTGGCAAATGTGTCTGCTATTTTTATTATTTAATTCAGCTAAACCAGAAGATAAACCTTTTATTTTCATCTTAAGAACTAAACAAAGAACAGTTGTGTTTTTAAAGTGCGAAGAGGCCATCACCAACAGAAAATTAGCCACTCCAGTTCCTTGTTTAGTGCCCTCAAGTCTTGAAATAATTCCTATCTTTTTTCAACTTTCATGTGCTAACTCCAGTGTTTTAAAAGTGCAAATAATGATAGCCATGTTTCTTCACACTTAGATTTCAGCAGACGATGTTCAAAGTGATTCTCCTTCTGCAGTTGCTCCGGTAATTATTGCTTATGTCTGCCTGGCATAAGTAAAGCTGAAGCCATATACAGTACTCTACAAAAGAAAAGCTTATATGTGCTTCACATTTGTAGCAAAAAGAAAAATAACAGCAGAAAAATGTTGTCTCTTCTTTTCCTTTGCAAATATTTCTAATCTATGATATGAGATTAACTGTAGTGGTAATCACAGCTGTACAAATACCCGGATATAAAGTGATAGATACTGTATATCTACTGTACCACAATACTTATTATTTAAAAAACATAGCATAAAGCCAAACACTGTGCTGATGCAGATGTTCACAGTTATGAAAATGTTCTGCTTGTGCATATTGGATTGCAGGAATACAATATCAGATCCACACAGCAGGTGTCTGTATTCCATTTTATTGTGAAATGCGCTTAGTTTACATCAGACTTTCTTTTCAAAATAAGTGTATCAGTCCTTTACTTTTTCAAAAAATTTAAGAAGTCAAATATTGAAACACATGAAGGAAAGAAAGGAAATGAGGAACAAAAGAATCGTGCAATGAATCACCCTTGATGTTCAATTAAAGATTTTGCAGCTGTAGAAGATGTAATCTGTAATAGTTTTTTGGGGAAAGGAAAATTCTGTTTCTCATTTTTGGCATAGTTTTCCAGATCCCCACTGGGTTTAATTTTTTCATCTTTGACTGACTGACAGTCTGAATGACTTCTTTCTGCGTGTAGGAAACTGATACCACAGAAGATGCAGAAAAGGAATCTCCCCCAACACCAGCTGTGGTAATTATTACAAAGCTGCATTACAGATGAAATCACTGCCCTCCTGGCACTCCTTAAATGTGTTACTGGGCACAGTTATTGAGCTTTACAAGACTTACATAGATTGGAAGCAAAATGATTGATTGCAAAAAAATGTGTGCTTTTGCATTCGCTTCTGTTAAGCAATAGTTTTTTTTTAATGTCACCAATTTTTCGTTTTTCTTTTGTCTTTCTACAAATCAGAACAGTAACATTTTGACAAAGACGATGATGGATTTGGCACTAATTTTGACTTCCTTGTATTAATATATTTTTCAAAATCACACAGGGTTGAGTTATCAAGAATTTAATAAAATAAAGTTCTTTAACTTTTCTTTCATTGTCTATACATGAACTTGCCCTCTTTTTTCACACTTAATGACACAGCTGTATAAGTTCTATGTTAGGGTGGGTAGCTGTGTCAGCATGCGTAGGCTGCAAAGGAACAAGTAATAGGTTTATTCAATGCTGAAAAAAAGAAGAGAGAAAAAACACAACGTTTCGACCGTGGAGCCTTCTTCAGGTGTGAGTTATGTTAAATACTGTACCTTAAATAAGCATGACAAAATATCCTTGTTTCTTTGGAAACAAGACATGAATGCAATGGTTAAAGCTTTGCGTATATACAGTATCATCATTGTGGGCTAAACGGCTGTTGCCTTCAATATACTGTTTATTTATGGCAAATATAACAGACAATGTACGGTAACACTGTGTAATATAGTCACCCACTTCTGCATAACCTGTGGGGAGAACACAAACTAAACCACTTGCACAAATCTTTCCTTTCCTGACTGCAGGTGCCTAGCAACCCACCAATGAGTTTGAAACCTGTCTGTTCACATCTGTTTCAATAACATTCTTCATATCTTGTTGTATATAGGCTTCAGCAATGGATGCAGAGTCTCTGAAAGAACAGGCTCCGGTAATTATTCTTAATTAACAAGAAAGGCCAAGCAGGGGCTGCATTTATTTTGTCTAAATCTTTTTTTTTCTTATAAGTGAAAGCCATCTTTGCTCAAAATAGAACAGAAAAAGCAGGATGACATTTGTTTCCAGGCATTGTTTATGCCTGCATAATATAACGCATATTTGTGAGATGCTTCTAAAGGAATTACAGTAGTCTATTTAGTAGTCTATTTACTACTATAAAAGCTACTGTTAGTAAATTTAATTGATAAATTGGTAGTAAACTTGGTAGAATTTGATACATACACAGCATGTTGCTGTGACCTATTGAACCCACATTTTTATTTTGTGGGATTTACAATGAACATGTGGCTTAAATATACTGTAGATCCATATCATTATCAGAATACTGAGAGCGCAGAAAGGTTTTTTTCAACACTTTTAAGTTCTGGAAACAATATTTTCCTGCTGTAGAAATACTTGTCATAAAGTAATTCTACTTTTTCGTCATCCCATCACATCATCATCTTCAAGGGCTGTGCAAAAAACTTGTATTCTACTTCATAGGTATTTCAAAGTAGATATTAAGCCGACTGTACATATACTGCAAAATGTGTTTAATTCTTACTTTTATAGTCCCACACATTCACTGTGGGCTCTGTTTCTGTCATGGACGGCAATTTTAAAAATTCAAGCATCATGCATACTTTAGGAGGCTTTCTAGGTATTTTTAGTGTGTAAGATCATTATGTGCCTATATTTACAGAGTATACAGTATATGAATGCAATGCTTGTCTATATTTACACTATATAGAGAGAATATACAGTATATACTCTATATCAGTATTTTAAATTAATTAAAAAAGAATATATGATGAGATCTGTGAACTGATCAACAGTTAAATGATTCCAAATCAAAAATTGCAATCAGTAATAATGGAGATCTTTCAAAAAGCTTACATTGGAATAATTTTTAGCACATTGAAATAATGTATAGCTTTTGGCTGCTATGTAAAGGCAAAACTTTAACACATTAATGTGTGGAGGGCCTCTTTGAAACTGGAGGTTGGTAAGCTCTCATTGTACAGCTTTTTTGCGCTTTCCTGTCATTCATCTAGTCATAGTGTAAAATGAGAAATTACATTGCTAGGCTGTTTTTTAAATGTAATGTTTCCTCAAGATCAACCGCAGCTTTTCAATCATTCAGTGTATCCCCCTGATATTTTTTAACTTTTCAGACACTGTCCTCTGGTGCCGTTAACCCTCCATGATTCCTTATTTAATTGTCTTTAATATTTTCCATCACAGTATTATTGGTTATAGGACAGTGTATAATGATATTAAAATTTTAGAAAAACAGTAATGAAGGAATTTGTCAGAAGGCATTTGGGCTTCACAACAATCACTCCTCATCATTGCTAAGAAAGCTTTGTCTAATCATTGCTGTTGATGACAGGTCACATTAGATCAAAAAATTAGTTTTTATTTTAATGAATGGAGGGGTAACGGAGTTCAGCTGCTGTGAATGGGAATCTGTACATACAGCCCATGTCAGCGACACTGCTGCTGTTGAACTTGTGTCTCTAGTCCCAAGAATCTTTCCACTTAAATTTCTTTCAAGCTTCCCCCTTATAAAGTGCTATACTGTACATATCTCCCATCTTACAATCAAAGCAAAAACACTTGGTAAGGTCTGTAATTGTATCCTTTCGGGATTCATTCTTTGGTTTCTGAGGATGCCACAATTTCTGTACTAATGAAAACTAAATGCAGCAACAAAAAACCCTAACCATTGGAAATTCATGGAAGAAAGAGTTTTTATTTGAGACATGAATAGATATACAGTACTATTTATTTCATATATTTTAATTTTTGTATTAAAATCAAAACAGATTAATCTGTAAGGCAGATATTGTACTGTATATGGTGGCGCTCATTAATCACAGAAAACATCCGTACATTAAAGATATTTGTTTTTTTTCTGATTGTCATTTTTTGTCACTAGTCAGGATGGGAAACGAAACTATTCATGACATTCTGCTGTTCATATCAACACAGATACTACCAGATTAAAAAAGAGGTACAGTATAGAAACACAACCAATACTGTTTACAGCAAGCAGCAAAAAGAGCTTTTCTCTTTAATTGGTGTGCACTATTGTGTTGGCCAAGTTAATTTTGGTTACTCTTGGGTCATGTTTTGGAAACATCCTTGAGAATTTCTAGTTGCATTTTGTGACTGATACCACAACATTTTACTGAAGATTTTATAAGGGGAAACTGCATTGAAAGTAGTCCTCACGGCGGCCATTTTAACTCGCTGGAAAGATTATGTACAGTACATAGAATGTAAGTACCAGTAAAGTCAAAGCTGAATTACAATACCTCTATCATTAATGCGTGGAACAATAAATCCTACTAACCTCCCCTCAACCCTAGTCCTCCCTAACCACTTCCTCAAGCCAGCTCCAGCCCTCTCCCAGATGTTCCTAACTCTTTGGGTATTATTCCCTTTTGCTGTTAAGCATCATGATTGAATATTGGTTTTAATGTTTTAAAAATCTTTTAGAGTATAGTGCCTGAACTAGAAGATGAAAATAAAAAAGAGGTTACTGAAGACACTGAAACCAACCAGGTAGATATCAAATTCAGTTTCATGATTTACAGCTTTAGATGTTCTTTCTGTTGTTCCTTTAGTACATCGTCAGGGTTAAAGGTCCTAATTTTTGCTTTTGGGCTTTATTTGTTTTCTCATTTATTTGCCATTTCTGTATTTTATGATAATTTTAGAAATTCAGGATAATTTTCTTTCCTCCCACATGTTTCACTGGAATAAGCATTTGCCATTTACGCTGGCCTCTGGACAGTACCAGACACTGTTGCCTGCTATTGATGTGATGCTCAGGTTCTTCCAGTCAACTGTTTCTCAAACCAGCTGCAACAGAGCTTCAGTCTCAGTTTATGACCTCACACAGATCACTAATGCATCCTGCACAGTCTCACATGCCCCAGTGACAAGAATCCGCTGCTGTCAGGAATTGTGAACCTCAACTCAGTCATTCCTTTCCATTTCAAATCCATGTACCAGCTAATCCTTAAATATTTCCCTACCCTGGGTCAGTTAAGTATTTGAGCCTCAATTAAGAAATCAAAGGAATAGTAGGACCAAATATGAGTAATAATAGTAATAGTTTTAATAAAGAAGCTTTAGAATCCAGCACTTAGAGGTCTTTAATAACATGGACAGGATAATCAAGTCTTCTGAAGAAAAAAGTGATTACTGTCCCTCAAACATTCACTTGAAACATGATCCACTTGAAAAAATGTAATACTAATAAATAACAGAACATGGGTCCTTGGTTTGATTTTTTACCTTGAATATCGGTGGTTGTAGTATGTTCTTTCTGTGCTCATGTGGATTACCTCCAGGTGATCTAGTTTCCTTCAAATTCACAAGGACATGCTGGCTAGATTTGGTTGGTTATTCAATTTTTTCCATCACACTGTGCCCCCATAATTGAGTGACATTTCATCTAGAAGGAGAGTAGTCTTGTCCTCTTGTACCATATGCATCTGGAAAAGGCTCTAGGTTGCTCCAAACATTAGCAGACAGGCAACTTACTGACAAGTGACAGATGGATATTAATAGATAAAAAGTGATCTCTTCTTCCACAAATGCATGTGTACCGTGAATGTGTCATGCAGTCAAATCTCAAATCTGCAGTGGAGTCTTAGTGTGCTACTAATGACATACTATGGGTAAATTCCCAAACTTTTTATATTGATCCAGTATTGTTCCAACATTAGCAGATGTGGGAATGGAATATATTTACTGTATGTCTAATGACTGGATTCAGATGGCATGATATGATGGCAGTGTAATGTGGCTGTGAGACAGCCACAGCTGAACATCACTGACCTGAGTAGAAAAGGCCTTACATTTTCAAGGCTGCAAGTACTAACGCTTTTTCCTTTCAAAAACAGTCTGGAAATTGAGCTCTTAGCCATCTACTGCTTCATCTAATGGCTGCTGTTGTGGACCTTGTTATTAACTTTTGGTCAATTATTTCTTATAAATTCTGCAATGATACAAGAAGGAGGCTTCAGGTCTCTGGTATATGAACTATTGTTGCAGGTTTCTAATTTATTCAAGCATACATCTCTGGCTTCAAAGCACCCAAAATGCTGGACCACTTTGTTCTGGGTAATAAATGAGAAGTGAAAGAGAAGCAGTGTCATGCAAAAGATAATCCTTTCGGGGTATGTTTTGAATACGTCAGACATGCATCTGGATTCTTTTAACTATGGCATGGCTGCCTGTGTTTGGCTGGTTATAAGTCTTTTGTGGTTCCTTCTCAAGGAGAAGATGCCTATACCCTCAGTGGTCATTGAACCAGCATCCAACAATGAAGGGGAGGAGGAGGACCTGCAGACAGAAGGGGTGTCCAAGGAAGAGGTGTCCAAGGAAGAGGCCGCAGCTGATGGCGAGGCCAGTGTCAACAGCGCTGTTCAAGAAACAGGAGCTTCTTCACCACCTGCCGAGGACAGCCAGCAGGTTAACAAAACTGTTGATGTGGAAGCTCCTGGAGCCGTGCAGCCCTCTGCAGAGACAAAGACTGAGCCTGCTTCTGCCCAAAGCCTGCCTCCAGGATTCCTCTTCAAGGTAAGTCATTCCTGCTACATATTAAATTCCTTCTTTTGTACTGCACAAGAGCTGAAAAAAGATGTGTCTGGAATAAGGGATGGACTTCAAAAGAATGGACTGGCAGTCAATAAAGCTTTGATTTTTCAGCATCTACTGCACTGTGTAAAGGTACAGTTATTATGTGCATACAATCAATAAAAAACTCAAGACGGTTACCAATTACTTGGTAATTACTGTTTCTTTAAGGTTCTTCAGAAAACTAAAATACTCTTCATTAAAATACTGCTTTGATTAAAAACCATTTCACATGTAATTAGAGCCACCCTATAAAACCTGATGATACATATGGTGAAAATGTGAAAAATATCGAATTTCTCATGCCTGGTGGTATCACTCAGTGCCATCAAAACCACCTCCCAGATCACACAATCCAAAGAATCTCCCTCATGCAGCTCTGTCTTCTTTTCAGTGTGTTCTCTTTGACTAAACTTTGTCACACAAACGTCTTTGTCACCTACAGTAGTTTACTATAGTTGAGTAAAATAATAATGGAGTTCAACTGGGTATTAGCCTTCATTCAATGGTCACATCACTGAAGATGTGAAAAGTACATTAACATAGTATGAAAAGAAATTAATTTGATAGCTGACTCTTAATCCAATCATAGCACTTTGTCTCGATGTTGCACACTGAATAGCTAAGAGAATAATCTATGTTTTCAGATAAGAGTTTCAGCTATATCATACATCATTAAAAAAGAAAAGTATATTGTGTAGATTATATACTGGGCATCAAAAGAAATGAATCACTCTGTATGCTTTTGTGTGTAGTCACAGCACATCGTCATCAGTACATCATCATGATTCATTTACAACAGATGACAGGTCCCAGTACACTGTGTATTGGTAGTTTGAGGAAGCAACTAAACAGTCATTATTTGCAGTTCACCCCATTTCTTACTAATTTTCATCGACTTGAACATTGTACAACAGAATTAGGCATTTTGAGCAACACCTCAGGTGGACTTGTCAGATATGAACAATGTTTTTGAATAATTCAAGTTAACATGCTACTGTATATATAAAGAAATTATTCAATGTACAGTACAGTACATGAATCGTAGAGTGCATACAGCTTATACATATACAAGTATAGGTATACAGTATCTCACAAGCTTATGATACAGATGTACTGTAGTTTTGATTGAATACCACAGCTAGAATACCACTACCCATACTGTAGTTATATAATACTTTATGTGTGTTTCAGGTTTCAAGGGGTTCATGGTAATTGAAACCAACGAAGTATTGTAACACTTCAATTTATACTTTTGAAATCTGGAGATGTTTTGAAATGATGAGTAACTGAGTTACAGAATTATGTTGTTGCACTTTGATATGAAGGCTTTCTATGGGATTCCATAGACACCAGACAGGTTCACAATTCCTGACAGCAGCGGATTCTTGTCACTGGGGCATGTGAGACTGTGCAGGATGCATTAGTGATCTGTGTGATTCCAGACGTACTGTACATGTATGTGATACTATAACTCAGAACTGGAATAAAACAATTTAGAAACTTTACAAATTCCTGTTGCAGGTGGAAGCATTGCATGACTTTGAAGCTGCAAACACAGATGAGCTGAACTTGAAGAAGGGAGATATTGTATTAGTTATCCCTTCTGAAACTGTGGAGGACCAGGTAAGAGAGATCAAATCCATGTGTTAATGCACTAGTTGAACTGCACTTAACGTCATACATCTATGCTGTCACATAGATAAAAATACTGCAATTACACCTTCTTTGGTGGTTTTCCATTAATAAATACCTTTTGTCTAGCATCTCTTAACCAGTTCAAATACTCAACACAATAACATTTAATAAATGTATTCATTGTTTTCACTCATTTTATTTTTCAGTCATTTGTTGTTTCTTATTTTCTTGTTTCTAAAAAAGGGGTCTAAGCTTAGAGAGTCTGGTGTCTTCTGCTTTTTGCTTCAGCCTGCGTAAACAAATTAAACAATCAACCTAATTATTTACTTATACAGAAGTCTTTTACAGTTGATGACTCAAAAACCATTGCTCCAGATTAACAGCTTTAAAGGTACCGTTTCCTATGAAAAACCTCAGAGTCTGTATTGCTGTATTACATGTGTGCAGTTAATTAAACAATTAAAACAGTTGTGTAACTGTGAGCTTAAGTGGAGCAAAAAGCCAAAAGACACCTGGTTCACCTGAAATTTAGTTTGAGAGCTGTTAAACAACAGTTTGTCAATATGATTACAGGGCTAGAATTGTTTTTGTGGGCTCCGAATGTAACGTGTCTTTTATGTGAGTCCCAGTTTATTTTTCAAATATCTTTGAAATGAATTAACTCAGGTTTCACCAATTATGTTGAGGTGTGATGTCTTTCAATGCTGCAAAGTCTTGGCAATTTCATTGCTAAGAGAGTCAGATAGTAACAAAGGAGGTGCAAGTTCTAACATTTTTTAACTTGTTGGACAGCGTTTTTTTTCTCATTGAACTTGTTTTTATGGCCTTTATAACCTTTCAAAGACATTGTACAAACAGCTGTGAAGTTACAAAACCAGCAGCCTTCCCCCTAGCTGTTGAAGTGTGATTGCTACTGTATATTGTAGATTGTAGATTGCTACTGTATATTTGTTTAAAACATATTGGTAGACCTCAACCTCATCATACATAACCCAGCATTTATAACATAACCCAGCTCCCCATGTCTAGCCTAGAGGCAACTTTCTTAGACTTCCTTACTCAGTTTCAGAAATGTGTGCTTCTGTCTTTTCAGGATGCCGGATGGCTGACAGGAATCAAAGAACCCGACTGGTTACAGAATGGGGACATTACTCAGAAGGGACTCTTTCCAGAGAACTTCACTCAGCGCCTAGAGTAAAGCACTGTTCCACAGAACCTACAGGAGGCGTAACCAGTCAGAATGACTTCAGAACAAAACCAGCTCAGACTGCTGTCTGTGATGTTGTGGGGAATCCTTTATCAGACATTTGAAAGTGGGTGATTTTTGAAACGACCCTAAAGAGTGGACACAGTAAGAGAATAGATAAATTAGCAAAGAAAATAGCAGAGCATGATGCAAGGCTGTGGTCTAACATTCTTCTGAAATCAATAAATGAGTATGTTTTTGTTTGTTTACCTGTAAAGCAGCAACACATTTATTTGTGCTTTGTTGGAGCTATGGTGATCCCACATGTAACCCCTAACTGTGAAGACAAATGAAATTCCTCCTTAAGAAAAAATGACCTTATCTTTTCTGCACTAAGTGTATTGTATTAATTTTGTTGCTCTGCAGCAGATTTTATCAGTAATCTGTGGTGGTATATCCTATTTAAAACTTAAGTGTTACACAGACTTTTAAATGTTTTATTTCAGACATAAATGTTATCTTGCATTGTTGTTAGTGTTCTCTGTAGTTTTAAGGCTGAATGTGTGGCTAAGATGACATTTGGTTGATTTTACTCATGAGCAAGACTTGCTGCTCTTTTGCCAAAACAAATATATCAATTAAGGTACTGGGTGTATAATACAATTCTAACATAGTGTAAAATGGACTATTGTTTGAAAGAAACAAAACACAAACTAAGCAAATGTAGCAATCTATACAGCAGTGACTCCCCAGTCATAAAATCACAGAATAGAACTGGAAAGGTATTTTCCTAACATCCAAATATAATCTTCAATCAAAGTCATGCTGGAAAAGTATACAAACTTCTTGAGTTGTGTGTTCCATTACATTTTATGTATTTATTTTTTTTAATTGACAGACTATTGGAGAGGTGATGGGGTTAGAAATTGGTTATGCAATACGTTTAACTGTTAATATAGTTTCCTTTGTCTTATCTGGTCACTTACAGATGAATTTCCATTCTAGTGTACGTAGTCTCATAAATCTTTTTGTGATGTACATGTTCATGTTTATTTATTTAAAAGTGAATAAAGAATAGTTCTTAAACACATCAGTCACAAACATCCAGTTCATTCCGTAGGCATGCTTTCATCTGCGTTTGTTGATTTCAAATGGTAGGATCGACATACAGAAATTCGGTTTTATTCGTTGTCGTTGGCGCCACCTTCTGGCAACATCAGCGATAACTTGTTTTCTAAAGCAAGAATAGTCACATGTTTTTCTCCTGAACTACTAGAACTTTGGAAACGATCTTCGCTACAATATGATCCTTAGTATAATTTAGCCTAAAGCTTGACCTTACATTAAGTTAATAACAATAGAATGTATATTACATTAGAATTAATCTGTCCTATGACAGTTGTCATCAGTTTTTGTTTGCCAAACGTAGACCATTTAAGAAAAAGAGTAATATAAATTACTCTTTATAATTAAAGTAATATAAATCTTACGCTAGAAGGCGATTAACGGCTATTAGTTTTAATACTAAGCAGGTTATAGTAACGCAAATTCGGTCTCAAATTCTCAAGTGATTTAGCTATGAATAGTTTATATATATAAATGCAGTGTGAAAAAAAATATGTAACATCCTGTTAGTAATAACAGCCTTAAAAGTATCATAAATGTAATGGTAAGGTTTGCCATGATAAATAATTAATACACACTCGCTGACCTACTGTAAGTATTGGCGCCCGAGTTAATTCACAACCATTACTGCTACTGTGCTGAATAAGTTTTCAGTAAATCTTGAAATCATAAATATGGTTTTCTAATTAGGCCTGAAATTACTTAATAAATACAATTGCTCCAAATTACCTCTGGAACACTTAGAATGCCCATACCCTTAAAATGATGTAAAATATAGAATCAGAAACCTAACTTTGACAGACCCTCTATTCAAGACTGAATTCATACTGTAGGTCTTTACATTTCTAAGAGATATCCGAATCTTATTAAACATTTAAGCAGAATTACATTACAGAAAACATATATTTTTTCGTTACTCTTTACCTTTCACTGAATACTCTGTCCGTTACATAGATATGTTGTCAAAAAGATATGCAAAATGAATTGCAGATTTCTTCAGAAATGGTAATCGTTTCAACAAAGATCGCATTCCAATTCATTTCATAAGTGTTCCTTCCTGAGGAATTCTAGATACAGTTATACCTAAACTTTTAAGACAGATATTGATTTGGTGAAGGCTAAAAACCACTTAATACATGTTAATATTAAATTAACGTTAAAACCGTGGGACCAAGTGACAAGCCCAGTGTTATCCGGTTTTACTGAAGCGGAAATTACGCCATTATCAGTGAAGAACTGTCCATGGTGCTGATCAACTGGGCTTCAGAAATCCAGTTTCAGGGCTCAGCTTAAAAAGTAAAATTATAAAACAAAGTGTGGTACTGTACCTTCTTTAAATTATACACTTCATTTTTAGTATATAGACGAGATAATTTCGTTAACATTATTTAAAATAATTGAACAATCCCTAAAATCATCGATTGTGATTAACGGAAACTAGTATTGACTGCAAAACCATAAAAACTACAGTAAACAGTGTATGCACCCTCACATGAGCAAAATAGAAATATAATAAAAGCCTACAGTATATCACTATGATTTTTGTATTCATCTAAATGTTTTGCGCTTATCATCCAGAAACAGTAAGATTTTGGTTTTATTATAAATTACGGGTGTATATGCTGTACATATTAATCTAAATATATATATATAAAGAAACTGGGATAGACCGTTTTTACATAAACCGTTGTTAACGATGCCATTTTAATGTTTAGCTTATCAAACTCAAAACCTTTTTTCTCTTGCAAATAAACCGGAAACCACCTAATACCAGTAAAAATATTAGTCTTCCCATGACAAATGTTCAAATACACTACCTACTATTAACTACAGTTTTACTAGTAAGTAGTAACTATTAACTACTCACTTTTGTTGTTTTCTCAATCAAAACCATAATTTATTTTAAATAATTTTTGAATTAATTGTAAATTCAATCTGGAAAAATAACAAAATACAAACGAATGATTAATCGTATCTAATATATATTTTGTTTTACTTACTGTACATGTGCTGTAATTTGAGATTACAATTTTTTTATTCGGATTTTCACTTGAGGCGGTTACAGATATCAGAAGGCAAAATAAGATTATAAACGTTAAACTAGCTCAATTGCATAAGGTGAGTACAATTTCATAACGATTTTTATTACTTCTCACAGGAAATGCGGTGTTTCTAACAAAAGCATTGAAATATCGTCAAGTATCCAAAAGAAATACGCGTATTAATGATTACAGAACAAAAATAAACTAAAATATCCGCGGCTTCTCTAATTTGCTTGGAAATGTATTTGCTCACGACGAACAAAATTCCCATTGTTTAGGTTCTGATTTTAAATTAAACTTTGCTTTTCCACATACTGTAGTTTGTGATTGACGTTTTTAGGATACAGTACATCACCATTCTCCAATATATATACAAAGATCTTCTTTAACTTTTTTGATAATCCTTCTAATCGTTATTAATCATTTTTTACATTAATCAGAGTCTGCAAAGGCTTCATTACAAGCAACTCAAGGTAAACTTTACTTAAATATCATTAAGTGTTGTGTTACCTAATTCATCACATTTAGCAGTCAAATCAAGTTTTCCTTGCCATCATCATTAATTCCTCGCTACTCGCTTAAAGCGCTAAAAGGTTACTTTTAGTACTACAATCGTTATCAGGATTAACTGTTGGTTTATAACAAAATGGTTGAAAGGTCAATAAAATATCCCAGAAGAATTAAGTGTAGAATGTAGTATAATGCAGTACAGCAGTGTATGTCAAAGATTGAAATGCGTTTCTGTGGGTAACTATCGGTAGCTCTTATCATCTGAGTCTCAGATAGTTCATAAACCCATGCTACTGTAAATGCTATACAGTATATATAAAAGAAGCTTTGCTTGTGTATCTTATCCGTGTTTTTTTCCAAGCTTACTCATTCTGTATCTGTTAAAAAAAATTATAAACACAGTTCAAGGGAATATTTTTCCCCGGTTGTAGTTCGAAAAGAAGCGAACGTGTTTCTATTACAATAATAATAAGAAGTAAATAAAATAAATAGTACAAATAGCATGAAATTGACATGATCTAGCCTTAATAATAAACAAAGGCAGGCGTAAAAAGGGGACAAACTATATGCACCAATTTTAAAAGTTCACACCACATACAGTACATCATAGAGCAACTTAAAAACTTACCCAGTTGAAACAGAATTCAGGTTCAAGTTCAACTGAACGGCTTTAAAGCTACTGTATACGATTAATAACGAGCGCATTCAGAAGTGCCAAAACATGACTGGGAGTTGAGTTACAGTATAGTTACTGTGTGACTAGGTTATATTCACCTTTACTCCTACTTGTATAATTTCACATTTTCTGTGTCTTTGCAAATAGCAAACCTAAACAATTGCATGTTCTGTTGACTGCCCACAAGTTGCGCCAAAACCAAGTAATGTTGCTTGCTCCTTCTAAATATTCAAATACACCAGATGCACCAATCTTTTTGCTATTTTTCATTTGTCCTGTGTTAATGGGATAGGTTCTAATCTTTAGCGTGGGTAGAGTATACAGTATTGTTTACTGGTAGTGTGGTAATGAACTTTCAAAGATACAGTGTACATGCAGCAAACTACAGTATTTCACTGGGGGTATTTACAATATTATCTATTTGGATGTTATTTGTAGTCAGATTTAATATCCCTGTGTTGTATATGAAAATTCGTTTATAAAAATCCCTACAATGCTTCTGATTATAAATACTGTAGATGTCGCAATGCGGAAAAAAGTGACTGTGTCAGCTGTTAACCGCAGACGCTCTGCTTAGTCTGCAAGACTGGCAGAAATATGCAAAAAGATCTCAGAGACATTACTGGTTTGAGGACGGTTTTTACTGCGGCCTGGTAGGGTACAGAATGATCCCTCACCTTTTCTTGTTGGCAATATTTTGGTGCGGTAAGTAACAAAAAAAAAAGAGTTCACTAAATAAAACAACGCTGCGTAACTTAATGCTCTCATTACTTTCACAGGTAGGTGCTCCGAGTTTTCTATCACAAACACTGAAATATCTGTCAGTGTTTCCAGGGATCAGCTTGTGTCTCTGACATGTAAAGTGGAAAAGGAGTCGTTTAAAGACGAACCCATTCACTGGTACCGTCAAACGCAAAGCGGTGGCAAAATGGAGTGGCTGCTCTATATCGCTTCGGAGGCAAAACAGGAGACGAACACCGACGAAAAAGCGAGATTCTTTGCCAAGAAATGGAATGACAAGAATTTGTGCACTCTTAGAATAAACAGCGTTACAGACCAAGATGCGGGCTTTTATTTCTGCGCCTCTTGGGATCGCACATTGTTCATATGTATTGGCCACGTCAGTCAAGAAAGTGCAAGCTAAACAAAAAAAAAAACGAATTTGGACTGTAGAAGTTGATATTTATGATACAAGGCCAAATGCGACGCAAAATCAAAATTAATTTACAGGAAAACGTTAGCATACGGGTACCAAGTGGTTGGAAGTACTGTATAAAACTTGTATTACATACAGTAGGTACAGTAGCACAAAACGCTAACGTAGACTTACAGTAGATTTACCTTGCGCGTTGCAAGTATTTAATAACCTATCACCTACTCTGGGATTTATTATTATACTGTATGATATTATGGACTCTGGTCTCTTTTTCCTGTCTTAGAAAGTGTGGGCCATTCGGCTCAAAACCTCACTTATCCAAGAGTCCCTGCAAATGTAATCCACTCAAAACATGTTGTAGTCATTTTACCCACGAATGTGAAACCTAACGTAGTAAAGTTGTGTGATTTTCAATTCGTTTCAGATCATTAAAAAAGAATTCAGGAGAGTTCGAAAGTTCGTGTATACAGATGCATGTTTGTCTTTGTACAACACAGATAGCCTGTAGCTTTAGTGTCTTTTTACTATGCCCGGATTTAGAATTCTCTCCAGTACGTCTCTGACTTTATCCTTTTGACCTTCCTAATCCCATAGATTACATTAACGGCTTTACATCTCATCAACTGTTCTCCAAAAAAGCGAAAAAAAAATATGTTAATGTGTTTGAGTTTATATCCTGCCACAGAGCGCCTGGACCATTAACAACCTTAATTACCACCATAACAGTTTGATCCAAACCCGTTAGTAACAAGGCAAGTACGAAACCATGACCTGGACCGAGGTTTATTACAAATAAAACTGTGACCGTGGTGCACATAATAAAAGATCTAGGCTGATTTACAATACATACAGACACACAAAGCAGCAGACTCGTAGTTTCTCCAAAAAGACCTTCGACAACTCACATAGTGTATCTCGGTGCCGCAAGAAGAGTTCCGATATCTTTCCACCGGGACAATCCTTTCAACATGTTGAAGGGATTCCAGGCCTTATCTTAACAAAAGAGACCCAACTCTCTTATCAAAATGTAACAGCGTTATAACAGCGGCAAACCTTGATAACACGATTTCAGTGCCTGTGCCTTGTCCAATTCTCAAGCAAAAAATTCTGTTCAAATTTGAGACTTTTTTATGTAAAGAGTAGTCGGATCAAGTAAAGTAAAGACTATTCGTATTTCGCCATTTAAAGTTCATTATTCATGACCAAAACTGTCAAGGCTGGATACAGACAAACTCTTGTCTCCTTACTGGCTCCTGTAAGAAGCTTTTTTTTTTTTAATCCTCTAATGAATTGGAGTCCGAAGTAATTAAACTTGTATTATCTAACGCGTCGCACTGGACAGCGTAAAGCTCATAGAAGAGTGACTTTTTATGAAAAACTTAAGGGGTCCCATTATTAAAACACCGTTTGCTGAAAACTATCAATGCATATTTATCTTCCCTTTTACAACTGGATATTAATAGTGCAGTGAGTGCGTGAAGTAAACCACAAACGGGATGTGTACGAAACACTGACTGCAATATACAGTACAATATGCATAGCGTTCTGAGAAGCATTAGTTTTGGAGGCCGCACTGTATGACAGTCTGGTACTGTACATCATGCTTCTTTACCTTTTGTTGGTGGTGATATTTTGGCCAGGTAGGTACAGTAACAATTAACTGTTTGTACTGTCCATTCACTAAATAAAATTAAAGATACATTTTCTCATAACTTTTCACACTCAATTGCTTCGATTTAATCTGTTGACACAGTTTCACGTTTGTGAGTGCGCAATACTGTATATTATTTTTTTCTTTAATCCGAGTTTACAGCCGCATTCTCTAGCATTTTCTACCATATAGAACATATAAAATCATTGACGTTAAAACACATGGCTTTAATCTTTTTTAATATAAAGTCAATTAAAAGCTTATAAAGACTAATATAGGCTTGTAACTTAACAAACATTAACAAAGTTAAAATTTAAATGACAGGTTTGTCCTCCTTTAATCTATAATTTACAGTAGAACGTTTAATATTATAACATTAAATATTTTTTAGCTTCTTCACTGGCTAGCTGAAAATAAGTTTCCATTCTAATATTGTTTTTCAGATGAATGCAAAGGAAAAGTGATTGTCCAGTCTCCATATTTGATGACTAAACAGCTAAGAAAAACCGCAATTCTGAATTGTAAACTTGAAGGAACGAATATCGACCGTGAAAGTATTCACTGGTACCGACAACAGGGCTCCACGATTGAGTGGATTCTTCACTTTGCTTCGAAAAGTGAAAGGAGAACAGCAGACAACTTCGGAAACAGATTTGCAGCCTCGAAATCAAGTCAGTCCAACTTCTGCTCGCTTACCATAATTAACATCAGAGAAACAGATGGAGGTACTTACTTCTGTGCTTACTACCAGTCTCACGGTGGAAGCAAGTATTATCTCCTTTAGACAAAAATCTCTAAAACGTTCATGTTCTTGTATAATTGCACATCTAAGAGTCTAAAGGTATACTGTATATCTGTTGTAATTTGCAAACTGCAAAGGAACTCGGAATTTAGTCTGTTGTTAACAAAGTAACAGCATATCCCCTTATTTTTGACAATATTAAAAATCTTGTTACGAAGATGGAGTATCTAGACTTCCAGAAATTAACTTGTGTGATTTAAAATAGCGAAATAAGATAAATATTTAAATTGAAAGGAGATACTTCCCTAACTCTACTGAATCCTTCAAACAGTACCAAGCACCCATGTCTACTTATCTATAACTCCATCAAGCCCCCTTGTAAATTTCATATACTGTACCTTTGCAATTCAGTCAGTCTTTTACTACTGTATATTGTGGGTGATATAATTTTATGCAATTTTATTTCAATAACTTTTTTTCTGGTTCTTATTTTTTCTGGCATGGAAGTTGCAGGCACTGCCAGCCTAAAAGAGTGCAAATAAAATGGGCTATTTCCCACTTTTTGCCAACACAGAAAATGAGGCCTCCTGTCTCTTGTTTTCTCTCATTTTTCGGTCTGCAGTTGTTGACCAAACGGATTCTACAAATTTTCCAAAAGCAATTAATCAAGAGTTCAGATGCTTACGGTTTGAGTGAGACTCCCTTTTTGTAGTCTAATATAAAAAATCATCTTGTTGGTGAAGTCTGATGAATTTGTATCTGGTGGATGTCTGCCGTGATTAAAAAAAAACAATAGACAAATCAAACATTTTATGTTCCCTATTGTAAATCATGTAGTTTACTTTCTTGATCTGATATTTATTTGGTAAATTAAGTAACATGAGGATAGATTAACATCAACAATTGTGAACTTGAAACCAATTTATATAGCAGGGCATTATAAATCACTTGAGTAATTTAAGAGGAGTATGTTGCTCAATGGTACTGCAGCAGTGGTGATTAGGAAATGTACAATGTAAGCAGATAAAGTGGCCAGACTGTTCCACACAGCTGCCTAAAGGTTGCAATCCACAGCTGTGGTTCCCAGTCCTGATCCTGGTGACTCACACACCTGCTGTTTTTTTTATTTAAGCTGAGCCCTCAGTTACACAGTCAAACCCTTCATTGACTTAATAATAATTAGATTATTTTGAACTGTCTGTTCCCAGCTCTTAAATATGTTGGAGCTTTCATTGTAAGTGAAGTACAATCCCAAGCTTGTGAAACAAAATGAAGATACTGTATTCCAATGAAGCAGCTTCTAAGATCAAGTAAGGCTTCAATTATCTAACTGTGGCATGGGGATAAAAGCCAGCAAGTGTCTCGGCCTGCAAGACAAGCCTTTTGAATCTAATCTTGCTGTCTGTGTTCAAATCTAACCTTTCTTCCACACAGCTCCCATTCAGAGGTTCTCCATAAGGCAAGAAATCAAGTGGATAAGTGGGCAAATTTTGAATATCGTGTGAAGGGGTTTTCAGTGCTAACAGCTGATAAAAATAATAATATGCCTAAAACTGAAGAACACACACATTGAAATACAAAATAGTAGGTTTTCACACTGTGCAGTCTAAAGCATGTACTGTATGTGGCTTTTATAAAGGGTCAAAGGATCTGATCATTGGATTAAAAACACAATATCTGTTGTAAGTTACCAAGAAAAAATCATTGACAATACATCCAAGCTTCAGAAATTACGTTCCCTATTGGTAGGGCTATCCTCTTGATTCTTTTAAGATACTGTATGTTCTACTGTATGCTTTCCATAATTTATTAATACTGGCTATTTACAGTAGCTTGTTGTTTTTCATACAAGATTCTCAAGCTCATTCATGTGTTAGCTGAACTGTTTTTAATTGTGTTTCATCATGTGTTTCATCCCAAACATCATCATTACTTAAAAATGGAAGATTGTAGGCACAGCTACAACAATATATTCCCTTTGTCCATATACTGTATCTCCTGTCACAGGGTTTTAACATCATACCTGCTGTACATAGAGAGCTGAGTAAAACCAGACACAGAAATGTACTGTACTTTAGATCCATGAAGCTGTACCTCAGAACATTGAACACATGGTTGTGCTCTAGGCACCTAAAATGTGCAGTGGATATGCAAATCTATCAATTATGTTGTCAAGCACAGCAATAAGTGTATAACTATTAAAAATGTAACCACAATGTTCTGTAAAACAATATTTTGTTTTTGCAGCATGGACTGATCACCCGATGAAAACCTTTTTTTGTACAAAGTGAATGGCAGGCCATGATGACATTACACTGAAGACGGAGTGTGATGTGCTGACAGGACAGGGCTCTGCTACTGCCCTTCCTTATAGTCTTTTTTTGTGCAGCAAAAAGTGTATCATTTAAGGTTTCCACACAAACACAGACTAAAAAAACTTGTTACCAGGCTATTGTTCACATCAGACCATATGTCCAGACAAGCTACCAAATAAATTCCAACACTTACAGTACGTTATGTGGAGAAAAGTGAACCCAAGAGAGTTATCTGTTGTAAATTAATGTCAGGCTATCTTTTGTTTGGGGAGTGATATTTAAAGTTACTGTGCATTCCATGTGCAATCAATGTTGTTATTAATAATCTAGAACACAATAAACTGTGATTGTATCTATGATAATACAGTTTTACATCAGTGTTGTTGAAAAAGTCATCTATGTGAAAAATGCAGTTAATTCCTTATTCCACATGATAGGATGATAAACATACAGTATAGGCACTGAATAAAGTAGGTACCAAACATTATAGGTCCTTTGAAACTGTAGCTTCCTTCCCTTACATGTGTAGAGCTTGACAAACATGAACTTTAAGATCATAGAAAATATATATTTTTTCAAAATGTGTGAGATTATACATACAGAGATAAAATAAGATCAGTTTATTGGCCACATACTGTACAATTTCTTGTATTAGCAATTTGTCTTTTCACATACTGTACCCCAACTTGCTCTCCATGAGTCACACAGACAGGGAGAGAAGCTTGGGGTCAGAGCGCAGGGTCAGCCATTTATACGGCACCTCTGGAGCAGCTGGGGTTAAGGGCCTTGCTCAGGGGCCCAATGGAGTAGGATTCCTCTGCCGTCCGCGGAATACAAACCAGCAACCTTCCAGCCACAGGCACAGATCCTTAGTCACAGAGCCACCACACCACCCCAGCAGTACAGTATGTGTGTGATCAGAAAGGGCAGTTTTGGCTACCCTACGTACCATATTGTAATGACTTGACTAATATATTGGAAAAGGTGAAGTATGGTCAGGTCACCTGGTGGTAAGAGGTTTAAAGAAGTCAGGTATTTAATTAAGACATCAAGTTGGGGATTGAGTGGCAGTGTGGAATGTACACAAAACTAATTTCTGGTACAGTGTAATCTTGTGTGTGATAATCTGTGGACCCATGGGCACCCGATTGCTATGATCATATCATTGCAATATCAAAAATAATCAGATGAAGCTGTTGGCAGTGAAACAGATAAACACAATGAAAAACTGGTTGAATGGTATGTGTACATACGGTAGTTAGTTACTAATAGGAAGCCACAATGGTCGCCAGATGTCTTCATGTGAACTAGTTTGTACTATACCTAGACATACATATCAGCAGGAGGTGTACCAGTCACATATCAGTAAACCAATAAATGAGTATTGTATTTCCATAGGTTAGCTTACAATTCAAACCAAATATTAAGTTTGTAATTGATTCACAGTGATATTGATCAGATTTTTTACATCAACGATGATCTGAAAAAGGTATCAAAATAATGTTGTGGAGAATCTCAGCAGTAAGCAATGCTGCCTTGCAGTGCTGGGGCCCTTTGTTCAATTCCGGAAATGGGGTGTTATCTGTGTGGAGTTAGTATGTTCCCTCTGTGTTCGCGTGGGTTTCCACTGGGTGCTCTGGTTTCCTCCTACAGTCCAAACACATACTGGCAGGTTCACTGGCTTCTGGGAAAAGTTGGACCTGTTGTGAGAGTGTTTCTGTGTGTCTGTGTTTGTTTCTGTCTGGTCTGCAATGGACTGGCACACATTTAGGGTATATCCTGCCTTCTGCCAGTTGCTTGCCAGGATAGGCTCCAGTCTGCCCACAACCCTGAAGAGGTTAAAGCGCTTAGAAAATGGATGGATAGATATATCCATCAAATTGTAACACCAGTATAATACCACAGTTTTACATAAATACCATTTTAGTGCCACATGCTATTTAAGTATATATATATATCAAATAGAAGACCAAAGAGAGAAAGTAAATTCAAAATTCATTTCATTTTATTTTTTAAATTGATCAACAAAAATATGTTTTCAACTCTTTTATTAATAACTCAAGACACTGAAGGGAGGAGGTTGTGTTTTGAGTTATGTTCTTAAATTAAAAGGCTAGTTCTCCAGTGCCAAACTCCAGAAGACTTTCCATGTCCTTTATTTTTCTATTATCAATCATTTAAGACATAAAACCTTAAGTTATTCATCCAGTTTAATTAAGGAATAAAAATTATACGTCAAATGAAAACATTCCGAGGGACACGAAGATGTCTGGTGCTGGCTCACGCTTGATCTAGGTATTTGCAGGTTTTGATTTACCGGCTTCTGCACTCAGTCATTAGTTTGAAAAATAGTCCACTTAAAGACTATTTTGCTCCAAGGAACTTCAGCATACTCAAAGGGATTGTCTTTTGCACAATTGGGCTTTTGACACTTAAACTACAATTAAACTAATAATCTGATTAATTAGAGCTTGTATTTGTTTTTGTTCCTGGAAAGTTAAAGCTTTCAAATCATTTCATTTACACAAACAGTACTGAAAACAAATTTAAAAAATGAGTTGCTTATTAACAATGATTTAACATTCAAGAGCTGATACAGAGGAAAAAGTCTACACTGTACAGTATATGCAGTACTTGTTTCAGGGGGACCTACAGTATATTAGGAAATCCTGCTCAAAAGCGCCTGTCAACCAAGAACCTTATCGCGCCTGGCTTCCCCAGCTCATACACAGGGAATTGGGTTTACTCCACTTACTGTAAATCAATACTAGCATCCAGTGATCGTTAAATTGGCAATTGGAAGTATGACTTAACGTTGAGAGCAGTGCCTAGGACCTACAATTTTTTTAGTTTTAGGCCCCACGAAGGAGGGAAACACTAGTGACTAATAAAACCGAGCTGAAACAACATGCTTGCGATCAACTATAGGTGCTCCAAATCAATAATCATATGCTATCTAGCGGCTATTCTACAAACTAGAAGTGTCAAGGGATGGTTGATTGACTGGCTCCATTAATCACGTAGTTTAGCTTTAAAATAGTTTAAAAATACTCTTCGGCGTTTGCCCTTCTTTGGTTTTTGCCCTTCTTTTTGCACATTTCGGCGTGAAAGTGCCCAGAGCCTACAGTACGAACACCAAAATCCGTCCCTGGTTGAGAGAAAAGTCTAACATGTCCAAAAATCTGTAAAACAGAAATAAATACATAAGTAACAGAAAACTTAATCTTACTAATGTTACCAATATTGCTTTAATGAGTAGCCTTCATACTGTATATCTACTGTAGATCAGTATGATCTGTTTCACTGCATACAAACTGAATATAGAATTAAAGAGCTTTTATGCTACATATAATTTATATCTTGGCAATTAAAACCTATTCGGTTTTATGTTTGTTACTAATTTCTCCGACCTCGCGACCTCTCACGAAAAAAAATGTGATGCAACAAAAAGAGATCGCAAATATATAACATTTGGGCCCCTTTATTAAACAAGACTTGATTTACTGTTTTTGTTTTGTTTGTTCAGCTTACAGAATAATGCAGAAAAATACGTACTGTGTATTGCTGTAAAAGATGATTTTTTTTTCTGTGTGAGGCTAATCAAATTAGGCAAACAAAACTTTTTTTACTAGAGTAGAGACACCATTGGTCTTGATAATCCATCATAATGTGGTTTGGATCCATTTGATCTCTTAATGCTTTTATTATCAGAGCAACAATATAAACCCGAACACTTCTAAGAAATAGTTGAATCAATTATGCCAGACTAAGTCTAAATTAATAAGATTTCTGCTCATTACCAGTGGAAGAGTACTGTACTTCAGGTCATTTATAAAATCTGCAAGATGTCCATTCTCCAGCACCAAGTACAGCATCTGCAACGAAAGAGGCAAACGAAGTTAATTAATGTTGAAACTCTCCAGGTAAAAGGTTGCAAGGTTTTGGGGGAGAGCTATTTATTAATTATATTAATTACTACTTATAGTTATATACAATAATTAATAATCAATCTCGTTCATGGTAGCTTTGTCCATTCACTTCCCGCAACGCACCCCATAATGAAAGACCAGAAGAAAACGCCTCCGTACTTGGGTACTGCATCTTTAGGCTCCACCTAGTTTGATATTAAAGACGTTCAGCCTGCAGTTTGCCATAAAGCATTGGCATAAAGAGAAACACACCAACTTATTTGGTTGCCGACCGGAAATATGTTGTATTTTGCACTCTTAACATCAGTGTTCTCGCTAATGATAAGTGAGTCTTTTTTTTGTAGAAACGATTTAATGTTTTCAAATCATACGTATTCCAATAATTATTTTTTTTTCCATTGTTCTATTTTCAGATTGCGCTCTGACGCAAATAAATCACCCTCACCCGCTGAAGATAGCTAAACCGAGAAAAAGTGCTCGAATTGAATGTGAACTTGGCGGATCATTGTCGCTCGATTCCACAGTCCTCCACTGGTACAGACAGAAAGACGAGTTAACTATTGAACGGATTTTATATCTGCCAGCTGGAAGTCAGACCTCTGAAAACGATCCAGATTTCAAGGAAAGATTTGTTGCTGGAAGAAAAGGCAACAAAATAAGTATTCTAACGATAGCTAGCGCACAAAAGGAAGACAGCGCAATGTATTATTGTGCGTATTGGGATGCACACAGTTTTTGATATTTAGCGGAAATCGAAACAAAAACGTCTTCTAATCATTGTCTTATTAAATTTTCACGACCTGGTTGCCTGTAAACATGTTCCTCTTCTCTGTTCTCCTCCCGAACTCCTCTCACATCCCGATATTCTTATATGATAGATACTAAAAGGTGATATTTTAATTCAAATGTTTTTCAGAGTATCGCGTTCTAAAAATAAGTATTTGTTTGGATGGGCCACAAAGACGAAACCTTTAAAACTTTAAAAGTGGATGAGGATATGATGTCTTCTGGCTTAAGTTCCAACAGGGGCTGTCTGTGATTAAATTAAAACAAACTTACCAAACTAATAATTTATTTTTTGTTTTCAATTCTTCTAGAACAGGTACTTTAAAGCATTTAGAGTATTTTCAAGTCACATATACTGTAAACATTTTATATAAATATTCATCCATTTAAATACTGGCAAATACAGTATTTAAATTAGTACTGTAAACGCGGATTCAGCATAACGCAATGCTATAAAGTATCAAACCGATTAAATATACTGAGTGAAAGTGAATCTAGTTCAACATACTGTAGGCACTAAAATTAAAATCAGATTAAATATTTTGGATATTATTTTCTTTCCCATTCTCTAAAACTTTCGTTTCATCATATTATATTTGCTTGGTGTTCCTAAACATTTCCCTAAACCTTTCTAAAAGTTTATTGCAGGTGATTAGAATGACGACAAAACGCATCATCGCAATAAGCGATTAAAGAAAGACCTAGACAAACGTTTATACTGTACAAACATGTAAACGTCCCTGAATATTAAATGTATTTTTCGTCAATATTTTGCTTATTCTTATTGTTTTGACAACAATGTAATTATTTGGACATACTATTAAAGCTCGTTGAATTGAAAAACTGAGCCTCTTCCCCGCATTGTTGCATACTCCAATATTATTTTACTGCAGTGCAGAATGTATAAATACTGTATATATAATACACAGTATATATTTTCACATGAACATAAAGTGTAACCCATTTCTAATGTTTCATGTTTAACGTTACATTTAGAAATACCAAAAATAATTTTGCCGAGTGCCTAATTCTTTAAGAGTTTAGTTTTCTGTCGACCTCTTGCAGTTCAGTAATCTTACATACTACTAAAGAATCTGCTTAGTAAATGTCTAACAGTTCGATAAAAACCAATAAACTCGTCTCAGATTCAGCTTCTCTGTAATTAAAATGATATCCAGATTTTAATGTATAGTTTGATCATTATTTAAATTCGATATAGTAAGCATACTTATTAGAATACTCGGGTACCACAGGTACCCAGACGGAACAAAGAAAGTTACAAAAATATAAACCAATATTGCACCATTTGTTTGCAAACATTTTGTTAAAAATACAGTGTTGTTTGTGTTCAGATCATTTTACTTTTTGAGCGGCTTTTTCACAGTTATTATTCCTGTAAGTAATATTATGTTATTTCAAGAGGGCAATGTTTCAAAATACTGTATCTTTATTTTAATATCGAGCAATGTTTCAGTCTCTTAAAATCGGTAATGGCTTTTACAGTATACTGTGCAATTCTTATTCTGCTATGCCAACCCTTTAAATATACAGCAAGTTCTAGTTTTTGCGTAATGCACTGCGATATTACCGCCAGAAGAGAATAAGTTAAGTTTTAAATAAAGTACTTACAGTACGTGCACGGAACAGTCTTTTCCTTCATCTTTTTCAAAAACAGCTGTTAATTATATATGCCAACCATGCAGTATAATGCATGGAGATGGCTACACTGTAGTTTCCCATTTGCAGAAAAAAAAGAGAATAAAGCTCATCAAACACACCGGCATGCTAAAAAAAGTAAACTGAATTCTACCACGCCGTAGAGCCGCCGCTTATCTTTAGGAGACTTAATAAGACAGGAACTGGTATCTACAGTAAATCGCATGTGTAATGGTTCGTCAATAGGAGAGTACAAGTTACTGCTTTTAATTTTCATCTCTGTATTAACATGACTTGGTATCCTGTCATTTTTAATTGCAGCACTTGTTTGTGACGGCTGCATTGTTTTTCCAACTGGTAGTATAATCAGCACCTTTATCCTCATCTTCTTCACCAAATGGGGTGCTGTCTTACATTAGAACAATCGGAGCTCACTCTTACAAGAAACCGTCTCAAGAGGGTTGTACTCAACCATAACATCTTCGATAAAGGGCTAAAGAGATTCTATGTTCAGGGGGTATATACAGTACCAGGATAATAAAGATGATAAAAACAAATACACTGACCAGGGCCTCAGCAAGAACATTTTCTCCTCTGAAAAACAACAATTCTGTTTGTTACTGTCGAATCACGTGAAGAAAACGATTCAGGAAAATACTATCTCACTTACAGAGATAGACAGCCCCAGATACTGTATATAACCTCTCAGGAATCAGCTCAAAAAGGGCAAAAAGATACAGTACATTCTGTGCCTTAAAGGAATTCCCTGACTGTTCTCATTATGTCTTTGCAACCCCCTAAATCTTGCTATAGGAAGCTAGCAGTTTCTTATTTAAACTCTGGTATTTAAATATGGTCAGCCTTCCCGCCTACAATTAGCAACTTTTCAGCTCTTCTTCGGTCAATCTGGCCTGCACACTCTCTCTGTCATTTACAGTATCCATATGCCCTAATTCACACCTCTCTTACACCCCTTAACCCTCTAATGTTTCAATTAAAAATTTTGTTTTTGTTAAAAAAGACCAATCAAATTGTTGGCTGCAAGATCTAATATTTGGCAAATAAATATTTACTCCACGATAAAATACTGTACAGATATGCCTGGGTGGATCAGCACAAGAAGAACCCCCAATGAGAGAATAATAGTTTGATAATTGGATCAAGATCACAAAATGCTACAGAGGAATCTGAATTTAATGGGGCCAGAGATTCACCGGATTCACCAACGATTTCTTTATCACCTCAAATTGCATTGCAGTTGGTATCCAGGTAAATATATACAGTAGTGTTGCAGAGGTATTGCATAAGGAGCAATACCGAAAAGACAGACATTGGACCATGGGAGACAACAGTAGCAGGTTTAATATAAAATGTCACAATGAATAAGTCAAAGAGGAAAATAGGCTTGTGGCTTGTGAAAAGGAGATGCAAACAAAGAGAAGAGTCAAGGGTGATCCCTAGAGACGGACGCAGGATTTTTTTTTTCATTCTAGTGAGAACTTGGCTGTTTGAAAACCCAGTCAAGGTTGAAAGAGCTATAGCGGAATAAACAACAATGATAGTCAGAGGAACTTCTCAATGAAGGAAGGTGCAGCAGAGGAGGTCTGCAAGTGTACAAAAGCTTTGGATGGGTTCAGTAGTTGAAAATGAGCTGGAATGGGAAATGATATTTATCATGCTGGTGCCTGAGGTCTAAAGATGACAAACCTTGATTTAAGGACAGCAGGATGATTGACATGAGCAATGATTTTCATCTTTCATTTTAAACAGATGCAGTACAGTACAGAGAGAGTGACAATCCTTTACCAGCTTGGAAGAGATGTACAGTGGTCAGATCAAGTCTGGATATACTAGAAAGACCAGCAAGCATGAGCATATGATGAGGCAAGAGCCAGCTGAGGAGCATGGGAAAGGTGCAGGAGCAGTAAAGGTCTAGCAATGCCAACTTTCAGAGAGATGTCTCTCTATAAAGCAGAACACTGCAAGAAAGAAGAAGGGAAGTTCAGGAGGCAAGATATAGTTCTGCAGGCAAGCTGGCAAGCAGAAGTGTGCGAGATTGGGCTATGATCTTACTCTTGAATTTAAAATACTATTAATCTAAGGATGTATTTATTTACAGTGAAAGTATTTTGATACTGTAGGTATTACAACTTTGAAAATTTAGATTACACATTGTAGCGTAACTATGTTTAATAATGTCCCCGTTCTTTCATTCTCCCTTCTAACATTACTTTAGCAAGCATTCTGATAATCCTACTCAGAATTATATCAGACTCCAAAATTCAAAATTAAACAAGATTCACACTTTCCCCCAGCCCTCAGTTCTTACATTATCATTCATTTTTCTTTCAGTTGAATTGACCTCTGTGCACATACCTTATGTATGTACAGTATGTATACACATAAAAAGAAGAAGAAATATTTGCATTGATGCTATTAGTAGATTTTGATAAAAATAAAGCCTAGAAAATACAAATATGTACATTTTCATTATAGTAGCTACAGTATGTCTACATGTGAATAGTACAAAATAACTCAGTATAATATATGCAACCTGACAATATGACTAACAGTTGTCTTAACACACAGCTGTGAATTTTACCCATAAACCTACCCATCACCCACTTCTCTAACATTGGTTAGCTTTGTAGTCATTCCCCCCTCAGATCTGAATTAAAAGACTGCAGCACTGTACAACTGGATTTTGTTTTCTAATTTTATACAACCTTTCCTCTCCAACAATGTTTTTGGTTTCATGTATCTCTGTTTCTTCTCTTTTTCTAGGTAAGTGAGTATTATTTTTTCTGGTGTTTGTGAGTGAATATATCATGAGTCTCTATTCACAGTTATACCTTCAGATTTCAGCTCAATATATGTTTTATTCTCCCTTGCAGTGACAAAGGCAATAATCACTTTGGAACAAGTAAAAATATCCCAGACAAAAAATATTGGCAAAACCGTGTATTTTAGCTGTAAGGTCACTGGAACAGACTTTAATAAAGCTTATATCCACTGGTACCAGAAAAAAGCAGGCAAAGCTCTGAAACACCTTCTTTACATACGTGCAGAGGATGGAGTGCTTCATTATGATGATGAGAACGATAAAGAAATTTTCAAAGCCAGTCAAAATGAGGACATTGCTGAGAGCGATTTCATAATCAACTCCCTGAAGGTCGACCATTCTGCCACATACTACTGTAGCTGCTGGGATTCTCACAGTGAGAGGCTATCAACAGGAAGGCTGTTGAAAACCCAGGTGTGTGCAGAACTTTAAAAACAGCATGGAATGAAATTAAGAAAAAATAAGTAGTAGTGAGCTTTTGTGTTTTTACTGTAACATAACATCATATCTTAATATTAGACCTTCATTAGTGATTACCTTAGTTGTCATAGCAGGTTAACATTGAAACAGTGCTTTGTTTTTGTCTGTATATTAATCAGGAAGAATGTTGTTCCACAGAAATATCTGCAACAAAACAATTGCAATGGTGGTGATGATGCACAAATGCTTGAACTATACTGAGTATTAAATAAATCTGGCAATTTTTAAAATATTTGTTGTGTGTTTTGTTCGATATATGTTTGATATTTCTGTTTCAGCCTTTGAATAGGCTTTTAGCTAGACTTATTGGAATAATGTCTGTCATAAAACCCTGTGATGTGACAATCACCATGGATAGGTTCTTTGGAAACCCAACTCTTTAAATAACTCTTTTAAATAACAGCAGCACTCACTAACACAATCCTTATAACCAACATGAAATTGATCAAAAGGCACTTTAATAATGCTTTGGTAACAAAGGCGCTATATAGATTTAATAAATGACAATTTGGCACAGCATTCCTCTCAAATCGATGCTCTATTGTTTAATACTCAATATTCTTTTTGAGTTATTTTTAAAGCTGGATAATTTGCTTTGTACTGTATAAAGGCAATATTGTATATTGTATAGCATATTGTAGCATATTGTTACTGTGATGTCATGGGCCATTAAAATGTTTTTGTACTATTACCTGTGAGGCAATGAGGGCTTCTAGCGCTTGGCTTGTTTCCATTGGGTTATGAACAGTGTGGAGGATTCCTGGTGGTGACGTTAAGCCTGAAAGAAATACTAATTTAGAGATTCATTTACAGAGAAAAAATACAAAAGCGAATTAGGATATTCAAACATTCACATTACCTTCTGGAACACCTTAATGAATTATTCTTGTATGTATAATATTTTATGGAGCAAAATATTCCTTTTACATAGCCAGATAAACAAAGAATATGCCACAGTATTATTTGTTTACGTCAGTTACTGTTACAAATTGGTTAAACACTACTGTATTGTAATAAAGCGTCACATAGTGCTTAGAGCTCTTTCCAAAAGGAAGACATCTGTTTCATTTTGCCCTCTGCACAAAATACAGTCTCTTGCTGTACTTTGAATATCTGTTTGTTCCCATTAATTAGGAGTCAGAGACTTCAGTGTACAAATTCCTTTCAAAACAGTGACAATTCTAACATATGCAGTGGAAATTCATTACATTCTTGTTGTTTAATGTCATAAAACAAGAAAGTACAGTGGCAAGCACTCTAAAATGTGTTAGTCATTACTCATTTTCCAGGTTGGGAGCAGGTTGGCACAATTGAGATGGTCACCCGACTGCATCCACAGACCCATGATCTTGTGGGCTGCTGCAGCGTGAAGAATGAGAGAGTCTGAAAGGTCTTAGTTTGTAAGATGAGACTGTTACACAGTGTCTTCACTTCACAGCACTCCCTAGGGAGTCCAAACTCCTCCTTGTGTGTTTGGTGCATGTCTGGGCTACAGGGGTCAGGAAAGCAGAGGTGTGCTTGAGGCAGAGTGGTGATGGAGTCAGACCATGTACACTGCGCATATCCACACCGAGACCTTAGGTATTTAAGCTCTCTAAAATGAAACTGAAAAGACTCGTCTCCAGAGATTGGCTGCTGCATCATATCATGTATCTTTGAACTCTTACTGCTCTTTGAGCTCAATTATAATACCCAGCCTGTATAGCTCAACTTACCTTAAGAAGTCTGAGATCAAATCATGTTACCAGCCTCCATCATTGCTTATTTTTCTTTTTTTCTAGGTAAGGGAAGACCAGTTATTTTATGCTTGTGATTGTACAAAGCGTGTGTCTGAAGTTTAGCCTTTCTTTTTTTTTCTTTTCTTCCTTGCAGTGGCAGAGGCAGCGGTGACTTTGCAACAGGAAAAAATAACACTAACAAAAACTGATGGCCAAATAGCCCAGATCCGATGCAGAGTCTCTGGAACAAGCTTTGCCACAGCAACAATCCACTGGTACCAGAGACAAGATGGTGAAGTCATGAAGAGGATTCTTTATGTAGCTGATAAAACGGCTCAGTACGACAACAAAAGAGATGCAGATGTGTTTGTGGTGGGCAACATTCCTGGAGAACATTTCACCGAGAGATACTTAGCAATACGATCTGTGAAATCCAGCTACTCTGCAACATATTACTGTGCGTGCTGGGACGCCCACAGTAAATTAAACCCTATAGACAACCTGTTCAAAAAGATTTAGAGATAATGCACTGTACAGTTTCCAACAAACTTCAGAAACCTCATTCAGAATTTTGTTGTATATGTTTCAAATATAGTTTACATTGTGATAATAGGATGTTACAAATTGCTTTTTGCTCATTTTTTCATAACAGATTTTTAAAGCTAATTCCAAATAACAAAAATAAAACACAAAATACAGTAGGATTTGTCTTTTTCCGTATAAAGATTTTTACTGTAGTATGTCACATCGAAAAATCAGTTCAAATGTAATAAAGATCACAAGACTCGCACTAAAAAATGTTTTGGAAGAATGAGACAAATCATAGGTCTGTGAAGAAAATTAATGTGAGTTACAAGCAGGATAAAAACTGGATAATGCTGAACAATCCTGTGCAAATACTGTACAGTATACAGTATGTAAAGATACTGTGGTCGTTCAAAATGTTATTTTTTTGGCTGAAGCACATACAGTAATACAAATGTACTCTAGGGCCATGATTTACAGTACAACAATGCATTTCATTTTGGCACCTGTCCCGAAATGTAAGACCTCTTACGATGAGATTAGACATATTTTCATTTAGATTTCTCAGGAACACAGCTCTAAAAATTAGTTCATCTTGTTCAGCATAGAGGAGTCACATGCTCTCTACTCCACTTAATGCCATGGAAATCAGGAGTCAGTGTGGTTAGATGATGGACATTATCTACAGTACCTACTGTACATAGTATTTTTTATCAAAATATTCAAAAGGGACTGAAATTTAATTGAATTTGCACCACTTTGTAAACTTTCCCTTCAAGATGAGCTATTTTTCATTGTAGTCTGTCTGCAGCTGTGAATGTTAGGCAGAGTAAGTGCATAATTTTCCTCTCAGTCAGACGTACTGAGGAGTTTCTAAACTGACTCACAGCGGAGTTTCTCTGCCTCTGATTCTTTCTTTGAGAAACTATAAAAATGTCTTTTGAAAGCCTTTTCTATTTCAATCTAATCTAATCTAAGAACAGCATTAATGAGCCTTAAAAAATATTTCTGAGAACAAATGTTGTTATGGTTCTGCTTGGAGCCCTTTCTTTTTTTGCTAAAGGGTTGTTTGGGGGTCTCTCTGTGCTGTTCCTTTGCAAATTCACCTTTGGAAGGTAATCTAAAGGTAACTGTTTTTGTCATCAACACATAATGTCTTATGAAGAGGCTTTCTGCAGTTTTGAATTAATCATCTGGATTGTTATTTTGATATTGTTTTGGCATGTGCTAAAATTGCTATTCTTCTATAAATGTGTTCTTCATATATTAAGGTGCTATTAAGCCTAACTAAGAGTTATTTTTTTAAAGATACAGGCTAACACTGCATTTATTTGTTTTTCTTAGGCCTTGATAGGTACTTCAGTTATAAAGGTATAATCGTTATAACTAGAGACTATAAAAATCTTTGTCTCAAAATACACCTCAAAGGTTTTGATAAAACTAGACCGGTTTTGTGTCATCTGTTGATTGAACTTAATTAAACTTCTGATGTTTGAGCAATCCAATTAATTAAAACTCAATCCAAATGCCCTTTTTTCAAAAACTGTAGAAATGAAGGAATAAGAGGTAATCTGGTATGTTTTGTATTGCAAGTCACACTTTGTTAAAAGTACACTGCAAAGAAAATAAACATATCTATGGCATTTTGAATTGTTCTACTCTTTTCACTCACTGATTTTCTGCTTTATGTACAAAGTCCTATTTTACGGTCTTCTACAGACATATTAGTTGTTTTTATTTATATTTAAGCTCTGTAGATTTGTATTTTATAGTACAAAAAGTAACCTTGTAGCTTTACAGATGTGTGGAGAGAAAAAACAAGTTAATGATGGGCATCACACTTGATTGGTAAATGTTAGCTATTATATTGATAAATTAGCTACTACAGGGCTATCCAGTCCTGGTTCTGGAGGGAAAGGGTTTCTGTGGGTTTTTAAGGTCTCTTTAAAGCAGCAGTACCTGAAAGGCTATGAGAAACAGTTAGATTGGTTCAAATAAGCAAGTAATCAGATGGTCTAGTTCATTAACAGCTTCGGGATGAAAACTCACAGACAAAGTTCCCCTCCATGACCAGAAATGGACAATCTTGAGCTAAGATATTACATCTTAGCTCAGGATGTTGGCTGAGCTGTGTTATGTGTTGGCTGCACATACAGTACCTACTGTATATACAGTTTACCTTAAGTTGTTGTGATCAAGTTTTGAGAGTTGTAAAGAGTGTAAAGATTGTGATATGGCAACTAACCTAAGATGTATTAGGAATAACGAAAATGGTCATAATAGTAAAAAACATGAGTGGTTAGTACGTTTTTGATAATCATAGTTCACGTACAGTATTTTAAATCCTGATTATGTCTAAAATGTCTAAGTGCACAGTAGTAAATAAAAAATTGAAATAAATATGCAATTAGTTACTAGCACAGGTCAATTCACAGGTCAATTCATACTGGGTTCTAGATATTCTGTAATCAGTTAATATTAAATTAATGTTAAAGGATATAAAAATGTATAAAAAGAAATCAGAAACTCTTACTCTAAAGCATACTGAATATGCCCCATAGTCAAATTCTTACATCGCATCTTACAAAATTGAAATAATAGATTAAAATAACAACATAAATAATTTTAAATGGATTTAAACATTCAGCAAAGAGAAATAAAATTTTGGTTGTTGCTAGCAATGTCAGAAATTTTGCTATTACAATGGAAAACAGAAAGGAAAAATAATTTATATTAAATTATTTCATTTAATTCTTTATTTTGACTTCCTCAGAGGTCTGATACGATGAATCAACATCAACAAATGACAACATTTCCCATCATCTGCTAGTTACAGCTCTGTTGGTAGCTGATACCCTGCAGTGACGAGTCCAGTTCAGACACAATCCACACTGAAGCAAAAAGGAGACAGAATTTGCTACACTAATGTAAGAAAAAGAAAAAAAGACAGCTCTCATTGTCTACATGTAACACACTAAAGTATAGTCACCAGCAGCACATTTCTCACACTTTACTTTCCTTATTCTCACAGCTTTGTGAAAAAAGAGTAGACAACAACACCGCTTAAACAAGAAAACAGAGTTCAATACTTTCCACACACACTAAATATGCATTACTAAAACTTCAGAATAATGTATCAACAGCCAGTACTTTTTTCATAGCGTGAACACTATGCAGCCACATATAGAACTGGTGAAATTCATGATACCAAAAACAAAAGATATGGTCTTCACAGATTGGTCCCTCTATTGCAGTCATTTCCTCTCTAAGACCGAGTATAATATCCAAGTAACAAAGATCAACTTACCTTAAGAAGATTTAAATCAAGAACAACCATGTTTCCGCCCTCTCTCCTTGCTTTTTCTTCTTTTCTTCTAGGTAAGAACAGATTAATTATATGAAGCTTGTGAAACCGGGAATCAAGCATCTGAACTTTAATCCCTTCTCTTATCTTTTTCACAGTGGCAGAGGCGGCAGTTACTTTGAAACAAGAACAAATCTCACTCACCCTAGTGATGAACAATTTAGCCCAGATTAAATGCAAAGTCTCTGGAACAAATCTTGCCAAAACTACTATCCACTGGTACCAGAAAAAAGAAAGGGAAGGCATGAAGAGGATTCTTTATGTTTCAGAGAAGGGAGCTGAGTATGACAACAAAAATGATGCAAAAGATTTCATGGCTGGCATTGTCCCTGCAGGTGGTTTTGTTGAGGGATATTTGGCAGTGAATTCTGTGAAACCCAGCCATTCTGCAACATATTACTGTGCTTGCTGGGATTTCCACAGTGATGCCTCAGTCATGAACAGCATGTTCAAAAACAGCAGACAGACTTGTGTACCTTACAGTTTTGAACAAAAAAGCAGAAACCTCAACAAAGCATTTTCAGGAAATTACAGTAACTCTGCAAAAGATGAACTTTGCAGAGAAGATCTGAAATACTGAAACAGTTGCAGTTATCACCAATAGGATTTAGCCTATTTAGCCTTTTTTTCTAGAAATGGTTTGATTTAGATCGATTTTTTAAGTCCTTGCTCTATATGTTATATGACTTGTTCTATATGGTATATACATTTTTAAAGTAACCGTTCCTCTCCCACAAGTTTAGTCTGTCTCTCCATGAAGTTTTACTAATGTATATCCATCATGGTAAATGCAGAATAAACTACAGTATAACAGACTCCAATAATTAGGATGTTTTTTTTAAATAAATTTTTAGATTATTTTGTTGACTTAGCAAACGGAACAAAAAAGAAAAATACACCAAATAAAAAACTACTATGACATGTCTCAGTGTTCCATGTATTCACTTCAAAAATAACCTGAAACAAAATCACATACTGCATGCTGTCATTTTCCTGTATACAATTCTACAAAGCAAAACAGTATGTGGGAGTCATTTATTGGACCTCTCAATGATCTTAATCACTTCCAAATTGAACATCTTCACAATGTCATGTTTTTTTTTCAACTATTGCAACAGTGATGATATTGTTGCATCCTCGTTGGATAATCCAATTAAGTGGATCACTTAATTGCTGTAATGTGACTGCTTAATCAGAAATCTTCATTTCATCATCTCGGACAGCCTACACTGAATCAAAAATGTATCATGTGCTAACTTCATCTTCAGGTTACCTTTTCATTGTATCAAAAATACTGTAAAACTAAAGCACTCAACAGACCATATATTTAAAATATATTTTCACTAAAAGCCAGGACTGCCATTTCCATTTTGGGTAATTATGATATGATCACAACTAAGGTTAATATTTAGATACAATTAAAAGGATTCAGTTTCAAATACACATTATTTTAAGGAAATTAACAGCTGATAAGCCCCAATCAGGTCGACCTAATGACAAATGTAGAGGAGACTAAAATTATCTAAAATGAAATGTAAAACTGGGCGACATCTGAACTATAAGCCAGCTAACAAATAAAGCAGCCTATTTGGGGGGGAAAGTTAGTTTTAAAAAGTAACTTAATCACAGTTATAAGTTATATGGGTAAAATGTTACTTTTTAAACTAACAAAA